ACTGTGACCCCGACAACCCTTCCTTCATCAGTGAAGAAGTCCAACTAAATAGCCCGTGGTTCCTAACGGGCCAAAAGGAGGTCATCCCTTGGACGGCAGTGGTGAATGAGCAGTGGGTGGGAGGAGATGGCCACTTATGGCCATGTTGGCGGGAGTGTCTAAGGCGGGAGCTTCCCCGCCTTCATTCCACAGATCCTGGCGGGGATTAACCATCTTTCAAAGATGTTGTACAAATTGTTGTATACGAATGCTTCTTGGGTGGTACCAAACTTGTAATATCCTTGGGCTAAAGTTGCCGTGTGTGTTTTATCTCCACTTCCCACTTTGTGATGCATACAAGTTCTCGCTTGGCCGACACCAAGCCTTGGGGAGCAGTCGCGGGGGCAGGTTCACATCTAGTGGCGGGCACCAGGCCGTAACCAACGTTTAGCCAGTTGATGCGGTTCCGCCATGGCGGAACCGCAAGTAGGCTGCCAGAGCCGCCAGTGACTTGGCTGCCAACATTACAATGTACTACCGCCTTCGTTCGTCAGGTATGATACTTCAGCTATTTTATGTCAAAGAGTTGTAACATAACCGCACCTGAAGGAAACTTTAGCGGCAGACAATCACAAATGCGATGGAAGTGTTATGTCTCACGTTGCCACCTTCAACACCGTCACTTGTGGTTCTGCCGCGAAACTGCAAGCTTAGGCACCAAAAATGCCAAGATCTATATAATAATTATGGTGGCGGGTGACGCCAACACCAGCCCAAATACAGCGAAATTAATAACATGACATTGAAAAAATATTCCACGATAGTGGGATCGATGTTGTGCAAATATGCCACCTAATAGGTTTGTAGCATGGCGCAATGGGATATTTTGAATGGAAGGTAGTTGCATGCGGACCGCCATCGGAGGGATGTGTCGTTTAACAAAGGAGATGACGTCCTCCTTTCGACACAACATACCACCCTCAAACACCCTGGAACTCGAAAACTATTACCGAGGTGGATTGGGCCCTTCACCATCCTCGACCGGATAGGCCCTGTCGCATATCGACTGGAACTTCTGGAAAGCATGCATAAGATACATCCAGTATTTTATGTATCAAAGATTAAGCCGTATAAGTCCAGTGGCAGAGTACACCCACCTCCAGTCCCTATCAAAATCAAAGGGGAACTGGAATATGAAGTTGAACGCATTTTAGATAAAAGAATTAAAAAGCGCGGAAGGCACCAGAACTCGGTAGAGTACCTCGTCAAATGGCTAGGATACGGACATGAGCATAATAGCTGGGAATCAGCAAAAGCAGTTGCAAATGCACAGGAACTGGCTCAAGCATTTGAAAATGGAAGAACTCCTATTGTGCATGTGTCAACTGATCGCAGTACAAAATGTACACGTTGAAATAAGCTCATGTGTGGTTATGCCTTTGACAGGTTCTGCTGAAGTGGGCCCAGAAGCAGACTGGGTATACCGGGCCCCGTACTCGTACGCTGTTTGGACATATGAACGCAATGTCTGCAGCTATCTTGAACGGGGAACGTCTTGCCACTGAGCAGCCGTTGATCCAACCTCCTCGAGAGCCCGTCCGTGCACGTGGGCGAGGACGAGGTCCCTCGTATTCTTGAGATGGCCATGGTTGGGCAGCGGGTGGCCGCATGTACCGGGGTAGGGGACGTGCAGGGTGACCTGCATGTTCCACATCTTTTCCTTTGACGGACATAGGCCGGAAGGTCAAAACATTGCAGCCAAAGTGCTGAACAAAGAGCTTTAATGAGGGTTATCAAAGGCCGGCAGGTCATGTAAAACAACCACTCTTTCTCTTCAACATAGTTGTATGGTTATCACGCAAACTGGGCATGTGGCAAATCGCATAGCCAATTGCCGTGTACATACATAATGTTTCTGCTCCCGTATCCATGCTGTTGCGCACCCTATTAGGTGCGCCCCAGGACCTACCCACGAGGGGCACGTGGAGAGCGAGCGGGGAACTCGGAAAGAATGTTACAATTGGAAGCGTGAACCACAGTTATAATCAGGTGTTCATTTACCAAAAATGGCAGCGAATCAACTTATAGACACACTATCCTCTAGCGTATCTAGTAAACCCATTCTCACCCCACAATCTCAATACAACATCATGAAGTGAATTCACCAGTAAGACTAGATCCACCAGAATTCACAACACATGCATTGGGACGAGGACGCCCCACTCCCTGAGGGGGATGAATGTTACGCGCACCGGCCTGATGTGGGGGACGCCCTACTAATGACCCTTGGTGTGGGGGACGCCCTGCCCAAGATAACTATCCTCAACCCATGGTAACCGTTCTAGGTATTAAGATATGGGAGTAGGAGGGGTGGTCCCGCCTAGGTCCCCGTAAGGACCTAGGTACCCAGCGAGGCGGGTCCGTGGCTCAAAGAGGGCAGGAACCCCACACCCACACGCTTTACGTATCAGCATGCGCATAGCTACATGCATATTGCGCTACCCATATCCCAGAATTTAAGGGCCATTGCTGGCTTCCATTGTCCCTTGCTGTCGATGGTTTGATCCTCCACGTTGCCCCCCAATCTGCCATGGACTATCCACTGAATTATATGAACCACATTCTAGAGCTCAGTCAGTGACAGCTTGGTGATGGTGCGTAGACATATTGACCGTCAATCATTATATTAGATTGGCCTCATTTATTTAACAAATTTTGTTGGCAACCTGAACGCGATGGTTATTGATGCAATTTTTTTGTATTTAATCTGCATTCTTGCCTCTTCTTATAATATATGTATTGAGACTTATTTACTTAACTATTTGTTGTCTAACTGTAGTTGGGATACCTGACCCTCTTCGTTGTTGATGTTAGCTATGCTGAGGTAACCGCCACGATTTCGCATTTGTGGGTTTTAGTTTGTGATAGAGACCCAGCCGAAGAACCACTCGGACCGGGATTTGAAACCAGGGTCACCGTGGTAAGCCAGATTGGTTTCATCCTGCACCACCAGAACTCGTCAGTGGCCTTGCTTGGTACCTTGGGCTTAGGGTATTATACCCTCCATATTACTTCTACCCCCCTCTCCATGCAGGGAATGGAGCGCATAATACCCTGAGCCCAAGCTGCCAAGCAAGGCCACTGACGAGTCCTGGTGGCACAAGATGAAACTGGCTTAGCTTGCCACGGTGACCCTGGGTTCAAATCCCGGTCCGAGCGGTTGTTCGGCCGGGTCCGTATTAGTTTGGACTTCAGTTTGGATTGGAACGTCATTGCTTCGAAACGAATAGCATTGATAGTGATGATTGGAATCTGGAGTAGCCTTTTTTAGTACATCCTGCATGGCAATAAAATTTTCTTTCCCTCTATTTCTCTCACTGGCGATTGGATCTTCCTAAATTCACATTCAGCTAGTGAAAGTCTGTAATGTCAGGGTTATTGCCCAATCTGATAGTAGCGGGCATTTCGCAATCTATCACCATACCTTTGTAGATTTTTCCTTTTGGTTGGCAACATTTGAAATCCAGGGTAGTGGGTTGTTGACATCCAATGTATTGGTTCCATGGAATGTCTATCACATGCATGTCTTGTTCTTGGCTTCAACCAAATTGATAAAAGCTCCCAACTGCAAATGCCTCGAAACCGTTGCCTAAGAATTCAACTTATCCTGATCCACCAAATTTCCAATGATGAACACAATTGATTGGCCAAGTCAAATGCAGCTTTTCTTCTTCGCATAGGTTCTGGTGGAGGCAGTGTCTCCGGTACCAAAGGCTATTGCGACAACTGGAGGATTCTGTCTCAGTCATCCATCCGATGTCAGTCGCGCACCCATCCTCTGCATTTTAGTATGGATACCATGGGACATTTATGTAATTAGGGGATAGCCTCCACCTTGGAAGGTGTTGGCAAAGACATGAGCGGTGAAGGAGTCCAGGATTCCAAGAGTGCATTTGCTCGTCTTCCTGCTTGAATACAACGTTGGATTTTTAGGTTGGCCACTGCACACAACCATCCGTCGTGCGGAATGTAAGAGGCGGAAGAAAGAGTGATTTTTTTTTTTTGGGGGGGGGGGCGCCCATCGAGCAGTTGCTGATTTCGTCAGGGGTTAGTGTGTGGCTGACGAGGATCGCAATCACGCCAAGGGCATCCCCAGATTGCCTTGGGGGACACTCCGACAAACGGTGGCGTAGCCCCCGCCGCGAGGCAAGCCACTGGCGGATGGCGACGGGGTGAACTGTGAGCCAGGTGGGTGGGCCCGTCGGTGAGCACAGCGGCTCTTGGTCGAAACAGCGCCTTCGTCACACGCCAGGTGGCGCTGTGTGCTTTGGCCCTTCACTTTTCCGTCCCGCGGCCCAGACTCTCGGCGACTCGCAGAATCGCAATACGCCCAATCCGAACGCCCTCTGGACTGACGGAAACCAAACTCGGAAGCCACGTTCATCCAGGCCCGTAGCCTTGGCGCCCACGACCCATTGACTTGTGCGTTTTGCCGCTGTTTGGTGACCCATTGCCTTTGCAAACTGTGTTTGTGGGTGCCCGTGGGCTCCCAGCAGTAGTCCGCGGCAAAGGAAGCGAATGCGCTGGAATGACCTTCAGAAGGGGCGGTGCAGAGCGCAAGCACCACCAGTCGAATGCAATGCTTGCCTGCGGTTGTCCGCGAAGATGGCCGTGGGGCGTCGTGGGGAGACCCGAAGCGGGCAATCGCACGAGCAGTTGCGGCAAACGGTCCGCTGCACTGAGATGGCGGAATAGCCCTCTGCCTGTGTCGCAGCTGCGGTGCCACTTTCGGTGCGGGACGCTGCCACCCTTGCACTGGCTGTCGTAATTGTTGGCCCTCGGCAAGTTGTGCATTGGTTGCTCCGAAGTGCCAATCCCATGTGACATCTGTGGCGCCTGGAAGGGGCCCTTGGTCAGATAGGCATGTCCTCAGTGCGCACCCAAAGTTTTTGCTGACAGATTTAGCCACCACTAGCTTCATCAGCGTGGCCATTGGACATTGATATACAAATGCACGCAGGATGTTGTGCTGGGCTTGGCGACGAGCGGGCCAGCAGCTGGGCCCCCTCTTTCCTGCCGAACATGGCCAGCTGGTACCTATCGTCTTTCCAGGATGTGTGCAGTGGGGAGGGAGGCTGCACACCAGTGGCTTTGGCTTTGCCCCCCTCCGATTGCATGTTCAACCATCAGTGGCAAGAACACCAGTCCCGCTCCCGACAGGGCGGTCTGCAGGGATTTTGGGCCCAGCGAAACGTCGGCACAACCAGGTAGTAGCAAAGTGGCATTCTGAACTCAGCAGCGATTGGGCATGGTGGCAATACAGTGGCCAGGGAATGGCAAACGTGGGGATTCGTGGGCACACCTCATCAGAGTTGCCAATGTTCTTGCGAAGGCATAGGAATGTAGGGACTACAAGGACTCAGCTGACCTTCAGCACAACTGCTGGCTGCAATGTGTCAACACGCTTTGGGGCTCTGGCAAGGAGTCTCCACAACCAGGTCTTTGCTGGCTATGGTTTGTGGCCAGCACCATGGCTGAAGGTACGCAGTTCAGTACTTGTGGATCCTTTGCTGCGCACTGACGATGAGCCAGCCAAAGGGTCATGAATGTTGGTATCCTGGCAGCCTGATTCTTGGCATCTGGTTGGAAATATTCCAGAAGAGGATGGAGAAGCGTGAGTATGGGAGTGCTGCATCGAGAGGAAATCAACGTGCCAGCCTATCCGTAGTGAACTATTGTCTCAGTGCAGCTTCATTGATCCTTGATTGGTGCTTGTTTGCATAGGACCTCTGCGCTGAATCCAATTTGTTGCACAACAATTTGCTGTTCCCTTTTCCAAGGATTTGGACTGTGAGTGGACATAGTGCACGTGATTGAGATGACATTTCTGGTTGGTGTTCATAATCGCTGCAAGATTGTTGGTGAAAAACTTGGGTGTTCGAAAATCAGCTGTTTGGTAAGTGCATGCACTGAGAGGTCTGACAGTGCTTGGCCACAATTGTATTCCACACCAATAGGGTGTTCACCATTGTTGCCTACAGACCAGCCTTGCCACGGTGCCATTCATCGTTTCTTTGCTTCCTTCACAGTAGGTTGCCAAATCGATACCCATTGTCAGCTGGGAATGGAGGGACAGTTGTTTTCTGCACCTACGCTTCAAAATGCGACGGGCATGCCATTTGACATGTTCTAAGCCTTTTGGTGTCGTTGAATTGGCCTGGTAGTGGAGCTGACATGTGTGTATTTGTGTCCAGGATATCGATCTTCGTGGTGCCTGGTGGTCTGCTGAGAGATGGCTGCTGGTTTCTGGTGTGCTCCGCAACTCGTTTTGCTGGCTTCCCGATATGGTAGCAGGAAGCATGAGACCAGGACGATGGGCTGCTGTTGCTGTTGTGAACTCGATAAATACTGCAGGGCCACATCTCCCACGTGTCACTTGCGTGCTGGTGGCGCAGCTGATTCACAGTGCAAGGTGCGGTCAGCTGGTGGAGGCATTGGTTTTAAATAAAAGTTAGGCAACAAGATCGCAGCGTATGCCAGTAGGTTAATGCCATATTTTTCACTCCGCATCTTGTGTTATGCATGAACTTGGATATGCAATGTTGCAATCCCAACTTGCACAAGACATGGAAATTTCATTGGCTGATGTCCTATGTCATCTGCATCAATGTTTGGCATCCTGGGATTTCCAGCCCTTGTCCATGTATCCATTTCGGTTCAAAGTGGCTTCCTGACTTAGAAACATGAGCAGTTCTCTGCAACTTTGTAGGTGCTGCTTCTGCTATGTGGTCGGTTTTGATATCCTTGTCCCATTTTCTGTGCTTTTACAATTCAGGTTGTTTCTGTGCACACAGAACTGCTCAGGCTTTGAGTAGGGACATCTTGTATCCCTGGAGGGAGGTGCAAAGCATGCAGCACAGGCCACTTGGGTACCAGTTCCTGAGCAGAGGCATGCAAGAGGTGATACATGCTTTGTGCTGGCATGTCATGTGCAATCTGAGGCAAATGGAAAGAGCTATTCTGGTCTAAGTTTGAACACTACTTCCTTTGCTGTCGTTCAAGGCTTTGAACATTCAAGTGTTTGTGGACTGCTGACTCAGAGTTTGTTTGGCAGGATGTGGATTTGAGCCAGTTACTGGTGATTGATAGGAAATGGTGCATTCAGGCAGGATAATTGCCATGCTGATTATGTACTCCTCACAGGCTACTACTCAAACTTGGAACTGCACTGCTGTGGACAGGTGGTGTTCAGTGTCTACACTTGCTGGCGCCTGTTCTGCTTGCTGGTTGCCTTTGCCCCACTTGTGCTGAGTGCACCTTTTGTACTGTCCAACGAATGGTGGTCAGAGAAATGGTGTCGCTACCTTCGCAGAATGCTGGAGTGGTGTGGGCCAGCGTTCATCAAGTGGGGCCAGTGGGCTGCAACCCGCCGTGACCTGTTTCCCCACATGGTGTGCTTGGAGCTGGAGAAGCTGCAGGTCCAAGCTCCTGCGCACAGGTACCCTGTCGTTTGCCCATTCTTTTGCCATGAGCCAAAGTTAATGCTGGCGTGACAACTTGCCTGCCAGCATGTGGCCCTTGTGCTCCTTGTCAAAGTGTGTTAACTGAAATGTTCACATTTGGGATGTGGTTTGGCTGCTTTTCCATGTCATTTGATATGAATCCAATTGATTACCTGTTCCAAAGGGTGGGTGTGGCTTCAAACTGTCCACTGAATTTTGGCAAAACAGGCCAATTTTTGTAGGTTCCCCCTGTCAAGATTGTGTTGGACCCTGCCCCTTTGAAATGTGGACATATGGGAAATGTTTGCATGAGCTCATTGTTGGCTGTTCTGCAGCTTTGAAGTGACCAGATCTGTGGTTGAGGACACTTTTGGGTTCCCGCTGGAGGCTTTGTTTTCATCATTTGAGAGGGAACCGGTGGCCAGTGGCAGCATTGGGCAGGTGCACAAGGCTACTATTGGTGACTTTGGGGCAGCGATAACAGGGAGGGATGCTGGCACAGAAGTTGCTGTGAAGGTATGACAACGACTTGGCGGGCCATGCTGTTAGTCACATCATACTGCTTGTTTCTTGTGCTCCCAGTGTCATGGAGGTATCGTGCAGATAGTTTCAGTAACCATATGAAAGGGACATGTTCTGAGAATGTCCACTGGCAAGGTGATTGCGGTGATGCTTGTAGGGTGGCAGGTGGAAGCTTTGTGTCAGGTAGGTGCAAAATTTGTTTTTGTCTGTCTTGTCCTGCTGGTGCGGAACTCCCTCGCACATGAACTGTTGATGCCTGGAGCAATGAGTGCTTGGATCGATTCTATGCGGAGCACGCCACCATCCAGGTAGTTCTGTCATGCAGCACATTAGTGACATGTGTGGTTCATTTGTGTTTGCAAGGTTCGCCACCCAAATGTGGACTTGGCTTTTGAGAGGGATATGTCACTGATGCTGATGTTGGCACATGGGCTTTGCAAGCTACCGTACGTGGCGGGATTGAAGTTGGAGGAGACCCTCAAGCAGTTTGCAGGCCCCATGCGAGAGCAGGTATATGCTGGGCATCTGGTTATCGGCCTGTCGTTCAATCGTTACATGTGTGCACCCTGTGGTTTAGGTACCCTATTGAAATGGCCTGGCAGAGTAACTAAGTTTGTGCTGCTAGCTGTGCTGGGCCCCAAGTTTTGTTATTGCATTAGCCAGTGTATATCTTTCCTTGTGTTCATTGAGGAGGTCTGCAATAGAGATGCAGCTTTTGGGCTCAGCCTCAAGAGAGTGGTCTTTGATGAAACTATTTGTCAGTGCAGTGCCTGAACTCTTGTGAGCTCCTGCAAGTCTGCTGTATTAGCAACATGCTCTGTGAGTGCAACAGACGCTGCAACTTACCAAACACGCTCCTTCATGTTGCATATATTCTCAGTTGTTCAACAATCGCTGTATCTATTGTGATGGAAACTGCCAATGGCAGCGCTAGATGCTCCTAGCCTTGTACCAATAGGCTGTACGTAAATGAGCTGTTGCTTTTTAATGAATGTCTTATGTTGCAGGATCACAAGATGAATTGTGGCATTAGGAAGGTCTGTAAAGCCAGGGTGGTGTGTCACACGCGCTCTGCGCTTCCTCATTGTGTCATGCAGTGCTCAACATAGCAAACTTGATGTCCACAAGTCTGGCACTTGAGAGCACAAGACAATACGCAGTCCTTCTGTGTTTTTAAATTTAGTGCCCATTGAGAGGGTTTATTGCTCTGCTATGTGTGCCGATTCAGTGTCACCCCAGAACTTTCCTGTTCTGTGTCGCCTCATGAGGGTCACAAGAACAGGAGAAGGGCCTGGGTGGCTTTGGGGGGCTGTGCAAGAGAACCCATGCTGACATCGTCGTCTTTGGGTTTGTGCACCAGCATTGCACATAAGAGGCCAAGCATAGGCACTGGCAGACACTATCCAAAGTGTAGCATATACGTAATCCTTGCCCACTCCTTGGGAAACGGGCATGTTGGCGAGTGGATGCAAACACGCAGGCCATTCCAGGGCTGATGTGCCATCCTTTCAGTTGCTCCACGTTTTTTCGAAGAGCAGAGCTTTGTATTTTCCGTCGCTCTGTTGAAGAAGCACAACAGATGTAGAAGGGTTGAATGCACCACAGCACACTGCCCTTTGCAACTAAAAGTTTGCAGCCAATCTGACGACTTGCGCTTATTGCTTCAGGTGGACCTCTGCATAGAGGCAGCAAACTTGCGCTGTTTTCGACACAACTTCAGCAATACCAACACCATCAAGTTTCCTGAACCTCTTTTCCCTCTCGTGGCTCCAAACATCTTAGTTGAAACATTCCACAAAGGGGACAGTGTCCAAGATGTTGTGAATGGGCCAAGGTCGCCAGTGTTGGACCACAAGCTGGCGGAGCTTGGGACATCTACTTTTCTAGACATGCTGCTGGTCCACAACCTCTTGCATGCCGATCTTCACCCTGGAAATATCCTGGTCGAACTGGGACCACAAGAAGGCTTCTTTGCAGAGATTCTTCGTTTTATGTGCAACAGACTTGAAAAGCTGAGCAGCAGAAATGATCCAGATGGTGCAGTGCAGAGGTTCGTGAAATGGGCTAAAGATGCCAGCGAACATGCCTTTGGCCAGGAGTACCATCTTGTTCTTCTAGATGCAGGAATGGCAGCTCAGTTGACGGATAGAGAAAGGAAGCTCATGATCAAGCTGTTTCAAGCTTTTGCGAACTTGGACGGCACTGCCGCTGCAGATGCAACTTTGCAATTTGCAGGTAAGCAAGGGCATGCTCCCCAACCTTCTTTGCACTTGGCCTTCTTTCTATTCAAGTTACACAGAACCACAATGCTTGCAACAGTCGCTTCTGCTGTAGGAGAATTTGTGCATTCTGCTGTTTTGATTCATGCTGTGAGTCGCTAGACAGTGCCCTGCACGTTTGTGGTGCTGGTATTGAATGGGACCACATTGTCATGAAGTGACAAGCATATTGTTGCTGTGGCCGTTCTGTAAGTGTGGTAATGGTGTGATGGTCTGCTGAATGGATTGGTTGACTTTATGGTGCATTGTTGCTTTGAACAGGAGTAGCTATTGGCACTTTCGATAATACCATGATGGTGCAGCATAGTGGCTGTGGCGATCTGCACTTTTCAGCCAACCCATTGGCGATGCAAAGTTCCCAGTTTTCTTTTGTTCCTGCTTGACAAGCAGGTTTGACACCTCCAGAACTCCAGCACTTCGTGTTTTTGTACCTTGGCCTTTTTGTACCTCGTTGCACGTTCCATTCAGATTTGCTGCTTGGGCCTAGGTTGCAAGTGCTGTAGTATTGGTGTTGACTCTTGAAATTCTACCTGGATTGTGTCGATGCATGGCAGTGAATGCTTGGTTGCTGTTGTTGTTTTAGGTCCAGCACAGACCTGCCCAGACCCACGGGCCTTCCAGCTTGGTGTGGAAGATCACTTCCGGACGCTGCACGAATCTTTTTATTGGGCAGATACACCTTTCCAGACAGGTGTCGATGCATTGGCCAATGTGCTGGATTTGGTCCGGCGCCATCAGGTTGTGCTTCCAGGGCAGATATGCTCATGCATTTTTACAGTGTTTGTTCTGGAGGGCTGGTCTAACAAGCTGGACCCCAACCACAGTGTTATGGAGCAGGTGGAGGATATGGTTCGCAGGTGGGACAGGGGCCTGAAGGGAGTGATTGGAAACACAATGGAGAAGCAGTGGCTGCCAGGGGATCAGCGGCTTGCCGTAGCTTAGGATTTGAAATGAACGAGTGTGGTTTGGGGGATTTGATTACATTCATGATTGACGATGGCTTAGAAAGTCGTTCCGGATTTCATTTCCATGTAGGAAGAAAATGTGTGGTTTGCCGTTCTTGCTACTGCGTCGCTATTATTCCTGTTGTGCTGATGACGCATGGACTGCCCAGTGGTTCTGTACAACATTGATTGGAGATTCACATGTCACAGAGGCATGGCTCTCCTTTGGAATGTTTCATGCTTGCCATTGTCTCCTACCTTTGTGCAGACAAGCAGTGTGTGTGTAGTGGCTGGGGCCGCATGGGTGGTCACACTCATCTGAACAGACACAGCTGTCTGCACGTTCTCAGAAGTATTCTCTTTGCCAACGACCACAGCTTCATGCTTCCAGGCTATGCATCCACGGTCGCACTCCTGACCCAGCCCTATGTAGTTGCCAGTGCACAACCTTTTTATACTGCAGAGGCCTTCACACAAGGGCTCATGGTATTGCTAACTGCGTTGTACCCCTGCATGGGTTCCGTTGAGCCCATTTATCATGTTTGCTCCATCGTGATAGAATACCATAGGATGCCATTGTTCGTCACTGCAAAATTTGATAGTTAATCTAAAGCAAAACATTCCAAACGATTATTACAGGCCGTTGCAAACGAACTGTAATTTTGGTCGCACAAAAATAGCATATTCGGTTGAAACGATTTGCTGTCAAATTCGTTCCAGCTGCGTCGTTTGGACGAGTGGAAGATTATAAAATAGAGTACACTACTTTGCCACAGTATGGTATCACAATACCGAACCGACTCCACACCTGCCTGCGAACAACTGGAACCATGCTCCTTCGAAACTGGAAAGAAGGGTTTGCCAAACAATAGGCAGTAAATGCACGGGTCGATGCGTGTCCTGACTTGTTGCTTAAAACTGCATGGTGCTCAATCACAGTGTCGATGGCTATGCATTTGTTCGTGTTAGGAATTCATTTTTTGTCTCTTGGCAGTGAATGGGAACGATGCACTGTTTGTATCACTCATTTTATGTGTGGCATGGTTCAGTAAGTTGTCCACTTGGGCGTGTTTCTTTGTGGCCCCTGCCAACAAGTGGTGTGCCGCAATGCCCCCAATGGTCGCTGGCACGATGCCAAAGCTACCTTTGGTTGGTCTCCTCCACCTTTTATGTATGCTGGCCGTGCGTCAAAGACTCATCTAACCAGATACCTTGGTAGTGAGCCACCTAGAATCAGGGACGCTAAGCTCACTGGCGAGCTGCGCCTCCAAGGTCTCTGCATATGCAGCCCGCCAGTCGCGAAAGACCATTGCCTCACATTTCAGCAACGAGAATACAATCGCCCCCCCAACCACCCCCACCACCAACCCCAGGTCACCCCCTAAGCCACTGTCTTGTCTCGGGGCTCACTGTCTTGTATCCGCTAAATCTCCTCAAAGGTGAAGAAAAAAAAGGATTCTGCCTCGTTATTCTGTCCTGCAACAATCTTTGCCCCCATGCAGCCCTTGGGCCCCCCACGCTGCAGCCCTTCCTTTTATGGTCATCGCCCTCTCGCCTCAAAAGCAAAACACTGAAACGAACCATGACCCACGATGGAACGCACTCCTTTCGCGGAGCCTGTTTTTAATCCAGGCGTCGCGAGCAGTTGGGTGGGGACCTAGCGTTTCCCAGTTGGGTGCGACATGGCCGTGATGTTCCCTTCACCGCTCGGCATCCCCCTCACCACACACGTCCGCATTCCGTCCAGCCCCCCGAAATAGCAGTGACAAAGTGCTCTGCCCAGTCTCCCGCTGCGCGACACGTGCGGCTCCCCAGCGCTATTGCCCGCCGTGCGCCCGACCGTCCCCTTCCCCCTCCACCCCCACCCACTCCCTCCGCACCCTCTCGCCTCCGAACGCGCGCCCCCGCCGCGCCCCCGTCCCGTCCGGCCCCATCCGCCGCATCCCGGCGGTGGGGCAGGCAGGGGCCGCAAAGCGACTCTGTGGGGCCACCGCCACAGGGCTGCGCGCCGTGGGCGCCCAACCTTGGGGGCGGGGCTCTGCCGGGGGGGGGTTAGTCACCTGATACCCCAGGGAACTCCGTTCTAGACGGCGATTGGGAGGTCGCATCGACCGCCAGGAGCGCCATCCCGGTCCAGCAGGTCAGTGGCAGGGGCCCCAGGGTCGACGTCGGGGACCAGCGCGGGGACGCTCGCCGGGCCTCCGGGATGCGCCGGGCGCGGCGGTGCGGGCCGTGGGTCGCCGGGTGCGGGGAGGGAGGGATCGGGTCCTGGGCTTGGGCCGCTTGGGCTTCCGCGTGCGCCGGATGCAAGACCCTGCGACCGCGGCGCCGTGCAGTGCCGCTCGCTGATGGGGGCGCGGAGGGCGAGGCCGGACGGGACACGTCCGCGGCTCGATGGGCCGGCCTCGCTGCAGGAAGGGATGGGGTGGGGGGTGGGTGGGGGGGTGGGGGGGGGCGGAACGCACGTGGGGCGGGGCGCCCCTCGGCGAGGGCATCGCCTGCCCCGGGGCCGTTGCTGTCGCCGTTCCCACCGGCTCCGCGCAGCGGCGCCCGCCGGCTTCGCCGCCGGGCGTGGGCGCCCAGGCTATCGCTGGATTGTTGTGTCGATCCCGCGCGGCTGCTGCAGGTCCTCCAATGTCTGAGGATGACGTTGGGTGCTCTGCGGCGCGGGCTGGGAACTGCGGGCCGGCAGGGCGGGCGGCTCCCCCGCGACGCTGCCTCCCCGCCTGCCGCGGCCTCCTGTGGCTCTCAAGCTGGCTCGGGCCGTGCCCTTTGGCCCGTTCTGGGCAGGCACGCTGGGTGCTCACCCCCCAAGTGTGTGCACGTGCCGCGTGTCTGGCGTTAGCCTCACAGGCAATCCCTGGACGGTTTTTAAGTTTGCACGGGGACTGGATGTGTCGGGCGCGGTGGGAATTGATTCAGGCGGGCTTTGTTACGGGGCGCGAGCGCAGTCCTGGGGCCAGATGTGGTGCTGACAGTGGGTGCTTGCCTGCAGCGATGGAGGACCTGTCGGAGCTCACCACCCTCACGTCGCAGCTGAATGACAGGCTGCAGGACAAGATCACGCAAGTGCGCGCGGAGATGGCGCAGCTGCAGGAAGAGAAGGCCGAGTTCGAGGCTGAGAAAGCCGTGATGCAGTGTCTCACGTCCCAGCAGAGCGATGTTATTAAGCTCAACGTGAGAGGGAAGCACATAGAAACGAGGAGGTCTACGCTTTGCCAGGTGAACGCAGACCCACAAACAATGTCGTGCGTTTTCCTTGACGATGGCCATTCGGGTTTTCCTAAAGATGCAAAATGGTCACCACTTGTGGTCCTCATATGTGGCTTGTGGAGAATTCTTGTCATACCCCTTTCCTGTGATACCATTGTAGTTGAAAGAGCGCTGCCCTATAGTATTTTAACAGATGCTTTGAATTCTGAGGAAAGGCAAGGAGGCAGGTCAGGTTCTAAAGGTGGTGATTTGAAATTGAGGTGGTCCATGGGTGCTTGGTGACTATGCGCAGCTGGCGCCTGGAGGAGGTGCCACAAGGGTGTTTGAACCACTGGGCATGGCCTGAGCTTGACCGAAGTGTGTGGCTTTGTGCCCTAGGTTGATGGCTGCCTTCTGCAGTACATGTTCAGTGGGAGGTGGGAGGACAGGCTAGAGCGCGACTCAGAGGGCCGTGTGTTCCTGGACTACAATCCATACTGCCTTGAGAAGATCCTGGATTTTTTGTGGGCTCTGCAGGTAGGAGCGATGCAGCCAAGCCTGGTGTCCTTCTCCTGAGTCTGGCAACAGTTATGCAGTGCAAGAATCACAAGTGCCAGTCATGGAGTGTGCCGATGGGTTGGATTCATGCCAGATGTCCTTGTACTGGCAGCAGGGGTGGGTAGCAGGAAAAGAACAAGCTTTCCAGGGACCAATATCTGTTATTTGGGCATGTGAACAATGCCTCTCATCGCCTGATAGGTGAGAAGGCATTGCTGTGCAATGCTGTACGAATGTAGGCAATGGGTGGTTACGCTGGCGGCAGCGCAGGAGCTGCATCCCATCGCTTATGATAAGGCTGACACTGGTGCTTGTTGTGGCAGCTCTCATGTGCAGAATACCCCGCCCCCCTGCCAGAGGTCAGGTCTGATGAGGCAGCCAATTTCCGGCTGCTGGTGAGGTACCTGGGGCTGGAGGAGCTGATCTATCCTGAGCTCAAACGCTTCAGTGAGGAGCTCAAGACCAATGAAGTGCAGGCCCTGGATGCAGGAACTCGAGCTGTACAGAAGGCAGGAAAGGATGCCTATCAGAGTGTGTTTGGCCATGGTGTGTTTGTGAACGAGGTCGTCGAGTTTCGGCTGAAAATCGAGCAGCTGAGGAATTCCTACAAGTGGATGATGTTTGGGGTGATCCCTGAAGATTATCCAGCAACAAGGAACAGCCACGAAAAGTACGTTCTGCTGAGTATCAGCAGCTGCACTCGTGTCTGTGGGCTATCATTTGCTCCAGAGCAATTCTGCTCACGTCTCACTGCACTATCTTTGACATTTATGGCAAGGGAGAGGCGTGCATACCACGTAGTTGTTACCTCTGGAGAACACCACCGGTTTTCATGCTGTTGTGCCTGTTGTGCTCATTGCCACGCATAACCAGGCTACACAGTTCTGGTCACTTAACAATTATTTCACCAACATGAGGGTCTGCGCCTGCGTTAAGACAGGTAAGGTTGCCATCTGCAGCCAGATGTGTACACAGCTGCTTGTTTATTGCTGGACACTGCTCACACCTTATGCGTTGTGTTGCTTCCCTAGGCAAGGCAGTTTTGGGTGGTCAACAAATGGCAACACTTGGATTGCAGGCAAGAGCACACGGAGTTACAAGGGCTTCAAGTCTGGGGTTCTTGGCGAGGGATCTGAAGTTGCCATGACTCTGGATTGCAGACCCAGGCAGAACACACTTACTCTGCACATAATTGGTTTGCCAAACGAGTACCAGCTGATGGACCTCCCTCGCAACCAGTGGCGACTGCAGGTGGTACTGTATGGAAACAATGATGAAGTCCGGATTCAAAACATCAAGAAATTGCCGGGCTCGCATATACTCAAGTGATCAACAGACATGGACGATTATGCATGTTGTTGTAGGGTACCTGTGGCATCTCGCAGGTAAGCCCTGACTAGGGCCAAGAGACAGCAGCAGGGGGACACTGCGCATGGTTTTTTCTGCTTGCAGGGTGGTACCATAGCAGTGCGAGCTGAACAGGCATGTGCTATGGATTGTGGGGCCTATGATCCACACACTCTCAGTGTGGAAAGGGGGAGGGGGGGAAGAGGGGAACAGGCACAAATCCTACACTGCTCGTGCCCCCCATACTGTTTCAGTTGTTTAGATCCCAGATCTTCAGCAACTGCAGATTGCAGTTTACTGTATAGATGGCCCAACACAGTTCCTGTTTGTAGAGCAGGGGCCGGCGATGTTGTGTGTTCACAAGGCGAGACAATGGAGCTACTACGTTGAGTACGTTCTGTGTATAGGATTGGTGCTGATCTTTGTTAGTTAGCAGAAGATGATGGTGGGGTAAATGGGTGGCAGCTGGGATTTTTGTATGGTTCCTGTGCTGAAGGGTGCATTGCAGTTGGGGCGGTTGAAGATAACATGCAGTGGGGGTGATGTCTTAAGGCAGGGACAGGTATAAGCGCTTCCAGGTTTGTGCTGGTAAGGGGTTTCTTTGGAACGATATGTAGCATCACATCGCACTCCGGGCTGCCGCTGAGTGCCCTCAAGGCTGTAAAAAATGACACGTTTGCAGTTTGTTGCCGGACCTGTCTGCACGATTACGAACCAATGGAATGATTCGCGCTTCGGGATGGCTGTCTCTCAGTGTGGGACACAGCTGTCAGCATGTACACCGTGCAGCTTTGTTGTGAGCCCCTCCTTGAAATAGGACCTGGCACCTGTGCCCGCAGCTAATGTGGGACTACACAGGTGGAGTTTGGAGTCCCGCACACACGCGTGAGGGATGGTGGGTGGTGCCCGTCGCTCTTGCATTTACAGACACAAGTGGTGGGCACAAACGAACGTTTTTGCACGTTTGCGTTACATTTGGGCCCAAACGCCGACGTGACGTGAATCACACGTTTGCGTTCCCAATTCAAAACTCCAGACGTACTCCGCACGTTTGCGTTCCCACTTTAAAAGTCAAAACGTACAGCACACATTTGCGCTCGGTTCTGACAAGTCAAACGTATGGTGGACTGTTGTGTTCATGCTTGGCACCCAAGTACGCACCATTTTGCTGGCATAGTGTACTTCAGAGCTATTTCTTGCTGTAGCAGTGGTCCAGTACTATTTCACATTTTCTGCATGTCGGAGTTGGTTATCCATCCAGCTGTGATTGGCCTGCTGGTTATGCAAGCCTGCCCATTGGACAACATCCTGTTCGGCCAAGCCAATCCTTATGCATGCACCCAACCGACCTGGTAGCCTGGTGCACAGGTTGGAGGACAAGGAAAAGGGGTGTGTTGTATTGGATTCGCGTTTCCATGGAAACTTGAGAAATGGAAACGTCTGCCGGACGTTAGCGTTCACGTTTCCGCAACTTCAAACGTGGGGTGCACATTGTCGTTCCCGTTTTGAAATTCCCAACGCCGTGCATGCGTTTCCGTTTCCGTTTTGGAAGGCAAGGAAGCGAATGCGTGCATGGAAACAACTCACCCAAATTGCAGGGTTGCTGTGCAGAGTGGAAAACAATCTTCCCTGAATGTGCATCGCACAGTGGCATTGGAACATAGGAAATCAGAGTCGGAAGGTAGTCTCAAGTCCGATCTATGATGGTACTGAATGTCGGAGAATGTAGAACAGCCCAACTGGGGCCCTCCGTATCTTTGCACTCTGTTTCGGCCTCAGCACCAGTGTCGCACCGAATTGAAGCTGGCATTTGTTACATCAGAACATGAGGAAATGTTATTGCTTTGTTGGCGAGAGCTCATATTTGATGCTCATCGCGTTGGGAGTTGAATTGTTCACGCCATCAGTGAACAAGAAAGGAAAAGGCAATTACCTGCCATTGTCAAGACCAGCGACCCATGACAAACACCATCCCCGGAGAATAGCGCAGTGGATGTCTTCGAAAAGATTCGGCCATCCCCTACCCCAGAAAAGAGCACGACAGGAGGCAATGAAATTGGGCCCCTTTTCACACACGTCGCTGGCGATTCTGCCATCCAAATCCGAGCGCAAACAGCCCATGGACTTTGGACATTCAGGCGCACGCAAACCAAAAGAATATGGACAGAAACGCCAGCAGAAACCGCAGCGATTCATGTAGATTTCCTCAAAAATCCACGCAATTCCAGCTATGGGAATGCCACGGTGTGCTGCGCGGAAGTCACAGCGTTTACGACCGAAAACCGCTCGCTTTGAAGCCAAATTGTATGCCGTGACCTGTGTGCAAACAACACGCGCTCAGAGAACACCAACAAGGCGCTTACAACTTCACAAACTCTCATTCATTCCGTCGCATCCCCTCCAAAAATGAGCAGCGCGACCTTGTGTGCCGCACAAGTCCTGGCAGCCACCCACAATACCCTGCTCTAACTTCGTACATGTCACCACATCAAAGCCACTTTGATCCACAAAGAATCCTATCACCTCTGGCAGTTCACATCAGATTCCCTCCAAGCCCGTCCTATCTCCGAACGGGTGTCCCATTTTATAAGATATTACCAGCCGCTCACGTAATCCTAGTGCAAGGCTTGCATCACCATTGCACAATACCATAGTATATTCAAACCTTCCGCATTTGAGACCTCAGTGTGGTGATTTTTGCTCCTCAATTTTCTACAGACCGTTATTATGGGGCCTCCACACCATGGTTACAGCCGGAATGGCGAATCCGCTCATTTCGCATGGCCTTTTTTGACGTTTTCCTGCCACAGCGACTCATACATCTGGGGCCGCTAGAAGCCAAGAGCAATTCAGAGACCGTAGCATTGCGGCTAGGTTTGCTCCACATTTTCTTAGCACCGTTACGTTTCTGCTCTTGCTCCACATGAAAAGACCAAACGTTGCGGTGCTATGCGCAAGGGTATGATAATCTGTGATGCGCAGCACAAGCTGCAGGAATAAATGCCACCTCAGCGCTCCACACTTTGGCCCATCAGATTCATTTAAAAACTTGCTGCATCTCATACAGCTGCCGTCATGGCGATACGAGCGACATAATATCGCTCGCCAAGCGCATCCATGACATTTCTATCCATGTCAGCACATGGCAAGACAGATACCACTTCTGGTCTTCATCACTCTACAGGCCATGTCGCCATTCTGGCTGCGATGTGCCATCAAACTGGAATAAAACACATCAACACAACAGTAGAAAAGGGATGACATCACACGCCCGTGCGGCCCACCGTGAATCTCTTCCAAACGATTTTGACTTTGAAGCTCATGCCAATATAGATGGCTTCCCTCGCAGCAGTCCTTGAGGAGTTATACAACATGCAGCATGCTGACTTCTTGACTCATTTTATGATTGATGAGTTTGGGTGCCATATTTTGAGTCGCAGTGCATTATGGATTCGATGTACTGACACAGTGCATACCCCCAACTGCGTGCATATTGTGCTGCTCTGGCACACGGCTTAAGTGGCCACTGATGGCATTCATTGTCCTGTTGAAGTTGGCCGTTGCCAACCTTTAAAAAGCATGGATAATGACTGCCCCAACTTCATTCTCCGGTCATCAACGGCAGGCTACAGCGACCAGTAAAATGCGTTTCATACCATGCATACAGAAGCTGCATGCAAACTGCGTCCATATGCAGCCAAAAACGACTACATCGACACGAAGACTAGTACATGGGCGCATTTTATCTACAAATGCAGCCAGCGACGTGAAAGTTTGTCTGATATGGGCTGTTACATAAGCGCAGTATTCCCAGAATGGCTCGGAGTCGTACGAGAAGACTCCACGGAGAATTGCAGGTCGTGATATATGCGCAACGCGGAGGAAAGAGAATGACAAGTGCAACTGAAAGGGTCTACTACGACATGAAGAGCAGTTACGGTAAATATGACGGAAATGGAAGTGCTGGAGACTATACATACACCAGCATGTATCAGTCGTCCATAACAAGGAGGTTCTACAACACCCAAGTCCAAATTTGATTGGTGTCTGCCAGTTCCAAAGCATCGGACCCGTCTCTACGCCATCCTCGAGCTATCTACCTACGTCGCACATCACTCTCATTCTGCCTGTTCGACATCCGGGCCACATCCTAGATAGAAACGTCCACTGAGAGATCGTGCAGCTCGCCAGCTCTCCGAGACTGTCGCTGTGCCTTTGCTGCCTGTCCAGACCCCCCTCAGCCTCTCTCCGCCCGACCAGCCAGCATGACAGCGAGACGCTTCGTGCAGGTGGGGGGCTGGAGGCTCCTTCTGGTGGAGTGGTTGGCTAGGGGGACGCTCTGGCTCTCCATCTATTTCCTTGATGCTGCAGAGCGCCCTTCGGGCTTTCGGTGCTTTGGACTAACGATGCGGATTCCGTTTAGTGCCCACGATGACGGACGGCTCCAGGGGGAGCTGCACGACCGGGGGGGATCGGGAGCGATACCATGTGCAGGATGCTATGCAGAGGATTAACTTCCTTGAGACATCGATGTGGCTCACGCCGGGGCCCCGTCTGTCGACCGGAAATTGCCCTGACTGGAACTGGTTTTATCGAGTGAACGCGTGGACACTGACCGAGCGCCTCCCCGAGTGGCCCGGCATGGGGTGGACCGGATGTATCGGAGGGCTGGCCTTGTGAGTTTTCGGGGCCGGATGATTGGGCTGATTGAACCGCTAGGGGGTAGCGTGGTTGCATGGCGAGGTGTACTCCTGAATTTCTATGGGCGTGACACGCATGTGTCGTTGGATGTCTGTCTGCCCTACTCTGACGATCGGAGCTGGGCGTTGGAAGGCAATGGTATGAGCAGAGTGAAGTATGTCAACCAGCATCCCTCCCGGGCTTCCGCTGACATCCCTTGGAAGTTTCGGGAGATGGGCATACAAATGAAGGAGGATGATTCCGTGATCTACAGTGCTGCCTTTGATGCCGCGTGCACGCCAAGCACGTGCTTGGAAGTGTCCAGGAGGCTAAATCTGGGGTTGCCTGCCGTGACCATCATGGAGCGCCATGCCCAGTACCGGGCATGATGCAAGGCACTACGTGAGCATCAACAATGTCGGCGCACTTCCGTGGGTGTGATCAAAGACGGCGTCGCATCAGTAGCCCATGGGCCGCCTGATCTGCCGCCCGGTGTCGTGAACTTTGACACGGTCGTGTCAATGGAAGGGGAGGTATCGCCTGGCATGGATGATTCTGCGGCCGCAGGTGAAGTTGAAAGGGAGGATATGCCAGGATTGTTGCACGGGCTTGGGAACTCCTGATTGATACGACATGCCAAACTATAATACTGTATTGCAGGAAGGCTGGACATCAGTGCCAGGAAGCAGGACGCGGTGCCTGAGGATCTCCAATACAGAATTATTACGTCAACTGAGGAGATCCGAGAGGGAGCCACAGGACGATGACTCCATAAGGATTGACTGAGCACGACTGGGAACAACTGATCGGGGTGTTGGAGGGGGGTCGGAAGGTGGTGAATAGATCGCTAAATGGATGGGTTAGATGGGAAAGGAATAAAAGGCTCGAGATGCCCTGAAAATCTCGAAAACAAAGACACATCGATGTGTTTTTGAAAGCCTTCACTTTGGTGATGACTGAGGGAACACTGTTACACGACATTGCAATACAATAAATATGGGCTTGAGATCCTGACCGACAAGTCTCCAAGACCCGCAATCTACTTCTGATTGCAGCGTGCAGATTGCCCAACCCCATAGCGCGCTTGTCGCAACAAGGCCCTTTGAAAGATACCTTGCCGTTTCGGTTGAACCCCTCCCTGCCTTCGTGCATCTCGGAGCCGGTTTATATTGGGGTGCGAGGCCCCTTGGTGTTTCTTTGGTCCTATGCGGATCTGTTTTTGACAGCATATGCGTGTGGAGCTGTTCTGTCTACTTAGGAGTTCCTGAGTTCGATCCCATCGAGATGTGAATTCAAGTGTGTAGGTCCGTCGGAGTGGGTATTTTGGAAGGCATGGGATGGCTGATGTGCAATGCGCCTGTGTTGGGGAATTCGTTGCCATGCATGCTGATTGTTGGAACGGAATTCCTCATGAGAATGGTGGAAATGATCGCAACGTGTGTGAAGACGTGGGATGCTAGCATGCATGTGTTGGTGAAGTTGTTAAGGCTGTCGATGAGGCTCATTCGGTCTGTCACGGATGCTGATCCGATGAAGCTGGCCCATATGGTAGGGCGCATGGATACGCTTCTTCATGTGTTCGTTCTCTTTTTGACTGTGAATATCATCGCTGCCATTTTCTGCGTAATGGGGCGGTTTCCGCAGTCCCTGTCGATGACCTGATCCCTAGTGCTGCAACCCCATCCACCATGGCCTCCCTTGGTCCCATAATTTCCATGGCCAGCCTTATGAAATCATGCCCGTTGCTCCAATCGTTTTCTCAACAAAGCTGCCAAGCACGTATTTTTACCTCTTGGATTGTGCGCTTGCACTTTTGCTTTGCTTTCGTTTCTTGTTGCTCAAGTCGGCTGTTCGGCATGTCTCCTTGAAAAATGACGCACTTTTTGCAGAGCACAACGCTCCAACGTTAGCATGCTGCATGTCACCACGATGCATCGGGCAAGTGTATAATTACAATACCTTCTTGTGTAGTGGATGCACACATATATTCTCCTTGTATCTTTATCAAGAGATATCTTTCACCATCATTCTGAGCCTTTTGAACATGTTTTCGCACAGGCTATCCGCTGAATTCTGGACCACACAGAGCGCCAGCTCATGTGCTGATTGTGAGGACGAGGAAGGAATTATCAAGTTACAATGTGATATGTAGTGCTTTATGGCGAATAGGTACGGTGAATGTGGTGTTATGTTCTGATGAAATGTATATGGGGACAATGGAGACGGGGGATGAACATGCTTATAATGAGAGTTATCTAGCTGTTCCGGTCTTCCTGTAATGCATTTGGTTACGGCCTTGCTCCCCACGCCTAGGAGTGCCCGTGTGGGAGGAGCCTGGTTTCCATCATAATGGTCATCTAATTTCTAAATGTAGCCACATCTGGCAACTGGAACACCATAAAAATCACCAAACGAACGATGTGAGCACACACGCGTTGGGATATCGTTGAGCGGTCGCAGCATCTTTGCGAGGTCCCGTTAAAATGAAAGCAATAACGCAACGCATGCATTTCCTCTTCTCAATTTGCATTGCGAGGTGCACACTTCACAAAGGAAGCGCACAAAACTATGCCTATTCTGCCACCAAGCGGGCCCATTCCTAGTGTCCTTGCAGTAAAAACGATTGCAGCACGTGCATTCAATGCAAACAAACACAAGAGCCACACCCGGAGATGTAGCGGACGGACGCAGTTGTAGACAACATGCACCGAGCTCAAACTGCCAGGTCACTGCATCCTTCGGGCTCTTGCAGATATATATTCTACACTCTCTAAATGTACATATGAAATTAAAACTCCCCACAACCATTGCACTGCTGGCCTTTCCATGCAGGTTTGGCCTCAAGCATAATCGCCCCATTCCCGGTACCACTCAGCCTTCAGGTTCCTGTCACATGCATCAAGGATATAAGGAAAGCCCTGCAACTCCACACAGCCTTCAATGATGATTCGACCATCACTAATAACTGACGGTGTTCGTGGCCCATGGTCTGAATCTCTGCATGGACCACTGGCTTTTGGTTCTCTGCTTGCCCTGTGGGCAGGCCGCCCACGAGATACAGAGTGTTTTGCGATTTTGCCTCTCTTCCGAATCACCCTGCGTTCTCTTGAGCCCCTAGCCCTGTGTGCTTGGTCTTGCTTTCCCCGCCTCCCTGCCATCCGCCTGGCATTGATACTTGCAGCCTGCGAACCAAGTGCCTTGGCATGCTGCAGCGCCTGCCTCCCATGAGCAGCCGGGATATTCCCAATTTGGAAGCGCCCCACATCCCTTGCTCCAAACTGAAGGCTCGCATAACGGCTTTTCCTTATAAGGGGCCTTGTGGACACATCCCGGGAACCTGATCTTGGCACAGGAATGTGGCGTACCACTTTGCTGCTGCTCCACCCTGGAGCTCCACAGCTGTCTGAACTCACAGAGCCATCATCCTGGTCAACAAGCAGACCATAGCCACAATGGCCCGCTGCCATATCCTGCACTGTAGCCCTTCTGGTTGGCGCCCCAGGCAGCGCATTTTGCCTCAAAAGTTTTGTGAACTTGGCAGGCGCACTCCGTCTCTGTGCCCCAATACTACCCGGCAGCCCATACGCGCCTGAATACATTCGTTTCCTTGCACCAGCCCCTTGTTTCCCTGAAGCAGGCAGCGACAATCTACCCAGGCACTGTTGTTTTCCAGTCTGTGAGGCCCTGTGCCTGATTTCTCCCTTCCACCGGACAATGAAACTGTGGGAGAGATGGGAAGTGGGTGCAGACTGAAAGCAGAGGTTGTCAAGATCAAGCCAATCGCGACTTGGTTGACAAAAGCCCGGGCCGTCATACACTTGCCACCGTACCTTGAAAGAACATTGGCATTTATCTGGGCAGACCACAATGAAGATCACCAACTTTGCTCCTTTCCTTTGAAACACACTCCTCCCAAGTTCATTACTGGCTGCTGAGGTGGAGAAGTTTTATTCTGTGGTGCTTCTACCAAATGTAACAACCAGCATTCACATATTGGTACATGCCTGGGCAGACCATACCTCACTGCAATCCTGGGTAAGTGTTACCTAGCATGAAACAAGTCAAATTATAAATCTGGAAACATCAGCGCCATACTATCAGAGAATGCCATCTACTATCTGAGCTTGCAGACTGAAAACCTTGTCAATGTCACAAGATGAAGCTTGAACCTCCATTGTCAATTTTCTGCACACCTGGTCGATGATCTACTCTCTTGATTTGAATGATAGTAGCATCTATCCTGTGGATGTCCACATGCAAGTTGTGAGCCCGTGAATTGTAGATATGCACTAAAAGTGTTACTTTCTCTGTCCGGAATTAAATGAACGCGTTACATTGAGAGGCCGCACTTATGTCAAGCCTTGTCTTTTTTTTTTAAATCAGACTGCAGTACCACCTACAATTCTATACATGATCTCAAATTTTTGTAGAAAATGCATTACTACAGCAAATTGGGCATGGCATCAAAGACCCCCAATTCCAAGACATAATTTGACCCATCACAGTGGTGGACTGGCCTAGCCGGGAGTGGCGTTCCGTGTCCAAGAACGCCCCACTCTTGAGTGCAGCCATTCTCGTGGAGTCCGCAGCACTGTGAAGGTAAAATTGACCACGTGAAACTCAAGCTCCAGCCCAACGATCGTCACCCATCGCTGTGGAGCGCCACCAGAAACGGCCCCGATATTTGTTTGCCACCATCGCCGGGTTTTGGGATTGCGGCCCATCTTGTGCAACTACACACTGGCATGCATGGGATCCATCTTTCCTGATACGTTCTCAGGTATCCTGAGACCCGCCCTGCTGTCGCAGTGTGCACTAAAGACTATCTATTCTGTCGCGGCTTACAAGCATTGGCATGCCTGGAGCAAAGCCATGCCTCTCAAAAGCTATGAATTCCCGCCAATGTTTTGGCCGTGAAACGTTTCGATGTGCAGATGGAGGTCCCTACTGTCTGTGCAAATAGCCCTTCAGCATCCTGCGTGGCTGGCATCTGAAGTTTTGGACAGCAGCGTCTTTCAAAGCGTTGTGAACAGCCCTGATAGGCCACCATGGAGGGAGTGCCGCCACCTCCATTTCTGGCGATCTTTCTACTCCTGTGCTGAAGGCTGAGAACGCTTTCCTTCCAATCTTTTCACTGTGGCTTTGCCAGCCTCGCACACCCCGTGAGTGGTGGCAGAGTCTTTAGAAAGGAGCCTCGATAGTGAACTTGGCCTATTTTTCGGATTTCCGATCTCCAGATGGGCATCTGGCTGGACGGTGATCGACGATCGGGTGGTTTTAAACCCGGTTGCACTGTCTCGCCTCGTCTTAGGGACGGCTCTGACCTGTTGTTTCAACGGTGGCAGTGGATATCCATTTCTTGGTGTGCAACGTCAAGCGCAAGGCCACCCTCTCCGGGGGTCGGTTTTGGGGGCCGCCAGCCTCGACCTTGAGATTCTCCAACCGTTCCGCCCCAATCTTGCGGATTCAGAGTACTATCATCTGCGCAAAACTTAATATTTTGACATGAAATTTTGGCCAGAGCATCGCATGTGAGTTTATTAGATGCTTCCAAATTTCGTTGAAGAACAGATAAGTGTGTGATGTAAATTTGGCCTATCAAACAAACGCGTTCACGTAATTCCGGACAAAGGAAGTAGTATTGCATCTCCATTTCCAATTGCTCACATGCATTGCATTGCAAATTGTGAGAATGCCTACAGACATTGTTCTTGCTGCGACCTTCAGGTTCCTGTGCATTCTAGCTATGGATAAATACAAATGCCCTTATAGTTGTAGATCAGAGGAAACTGGTATCCAACAGGGTGGCACCAAGGAACACTAGAGGGGTATGGGTGCTGCCAGCTCAATCAAGCACCCTTTTCAGAACCACACACATCCACATGCAAGGTCTCTCCAGCTGATGGCACCGATCCTATTAGCTCTACGTCCATACACCAGTCAATTGCAACATTTCCAGCTCACACAGCAACTGGCAATGCAGGTGTTGCTTGGTTGTGTGTGTGTGCGTGTTCTATTCTGTTATGACAATATTGTGGGACATCGTGCGTACACAAACTCCAGTGTTTGCCGCCAAGACGTACTGCAAAAAAATGCAAACCATATGCAATAAACTATAAAATGTACCTAATTGTTGTGCCAACGACTGCAACATACCTCCCCCATCCCATATTAATTGTCGTCTATGATTCTTTAGCATTGCTTCTCCATCGTGCTTACATCAGTTTTCAATGAAGTTTAACCCCAAGTTGTGCTTGTGAGGTTGGAGTATTTTCAAGCCAATCCATTGAGTATTGAGGATTTGGTAGCACTTTGTAGCAAAGATCCTCTAGCAAGAAAAGGGTCGTTCTTGGACCTTGCACCGAAAAACAACCGCTTTTTGGTTGTTTTGAGGAGCATACCTTCACAACAGCGAAACAAAACCGTCCTTGCAAAATTGTGCACACCGTTCAGAGTGGAGGACACTAGGGTGCTTGCAAAGAGGTACTGCAACAGAAAACGAATTTCGAATGCCTTGATCGTCGAACTCACTATGGCTTGCAACAACAATTCAGGCTTGATCTGGTGGATTGGAGCGACGTTCGGCACCCAGAGTTTTTGGGCCAAGGCTTTTCGAGCTCCTCTGCCGCCGGCAATTGCGGAGGTCTCCCAATCCTTTCAACAAGGAACTAGAGATGGTGATGGCTATCACCCCGATATAGCATGAACAATTAGTGGACTAGGCATTGCCATGGGAATGGCGATTTGTCCTTGTTTCGGAACTTCAAAGGACTTGATGCAAGGAGGATGGCCACAAAAGTGAATTCGGGTATTTCGGAGTGATGGAAACTTGCGAGGTTCCAATGGATTGGGTACCACGCACAAGCATTGGCCACTGTATCCACAAACAATGGCTATTTTTGGACCTCCGGTTTAGGGCCCCACGCAAGCCCCGATTCAAGCATCAACTGAGGCGAAATGTCCAAGCAACATTACCAAACAGCCTTGGAGCGCCAACACGCACTGAGAACAGGCTTAAAGGTTGTAGACATTGGCCTTTCCGCTCGTTGGAGGTCTGCCCATTGGAGATCGAGAAAAGCAGCGATTTCGGGCATTGTCAATGCCGTGACGATGGCCACCTAAGACAAGGATCAAGGCACGTTCGAGTGTGTTCGGCAAGTGCTATGCCATGTGCTAGACCCCGTCCTTTGTCGCATCAGTGGCAACCACTGGCGTTGCAATTCCCAGGCACGGGAGCACGCCCAAACCAAGGGGGTTTGCAAGACCGCAGAGATTGAACGCGCACTTTTTTTGAACCGTGTCAAGGCAATTATTTGGGGCAGCTCACAGGTGTGAGGACTAAATGTTTTTTCTCGATAATCGAACTCAAGGGTTTGAGACTCAATCTTTCCGATTCTGGCCTCCATTTGTACTTAGATGCTATTTTCACGATGAAATTCTCTCTCAAATAGACAATAGTTAATATGGGACGGAGGAAGTAGAATAAACAATAAGCTAACAAGCATCTACCATTTTGACTCTTGGTGCTCCTCCAAGGGTGCCAAGCCCACAACAGCACACCCGATCTGGACCTCACCACACTGCCGATCAAGCATAGGTCTGCAATGCAAGGCATTCAATATTTAGTTATGCATGTCTGGCCATCCACATACCAAATAAACACATTTATGTTGGTTTGTGCCATTGGGCCAGAAATTGCATACAGAACCCAGCAATATCCACACCCACAAGAAACCATTTCAAACCGCAACATGTGCAGCAATTTGGTTTTTCCAAATGTGAATTTAGCACAAGCAATGCATGCATTCATGCCCATACTTGAATTCTAAGCGTGCACCATGTTGTCCATCCACAGAATACCACTGCAGGGTGTCATTATGGCAATTTCCAACACACCGGAAGAATGGGATAGTGTGTGCATGCTTGTCTCCCTTACAGGAGGTGCGCACTGGCAACCCTACATCCTGGCAGTCACAATGTGCCCACACAGCCATGCACTGCCTGGGACTCCGATTCATATCTTCCTTCATGTGCAGCTTTTTGGTTGCAGGCACACAGAAAGAGCGGAAAGGACAATTTGTCTCTTCTTTTAATCACCAGTCAACAGCCCACTTTGATGTTGCTTTTCCTCCCAGTGCACACTTCCATTCGACTCATTTTCAACATCATGCAACAGAGGCTCATTTCAAAACAGGCCTGCGTTTGAACTGTGTACCCCTGGTAATTCATATCTTGCTAACCTTGTGAGGCTGAAGACAACTGAGCATTTGGCTCCTACTTCAGTCAGGTATGATGGCATGACCTTTCCTGTGGGGCTCTACTTTTGGGGCTTGCAAGTGCAGGAGTTGCACACCCTCTGTCACACCTACTCAAACACCTACAACCACCATTGGTGGTGGCTGCTACTGACTGGCGATGAGGGAACCCTGTAGCACAAGATTATCTTGCTGCACGTGATCCGATCAGCTTAGCCCCCAGCTTGTACTTGTTTCTACAGGGCTTCCACATGGGCTGGTCCAACCATCCAATAGGTCAACCACAGTCGCATCACTCTAGCAGAATCAAGGTTGCCAGCACAGGCTTGCTGGAAGAGGAACTGCCGAGAACTACCTTGTGGAGGCCCAATTCAAGGCCCAGTGCAAACAATCCAATCAAGTTAACTGTTCTGCACTGTCATGCTGTAGAAACAAGTTTCGCATCAAGTTCACTCATATACACACAGTGCATGCATGTGTATGGGAAACAATGGAGGCAATGGTCAATTCCTTTTTTCTAGTCAATATTGTCCTGCACCCAGGCAACACCGCACACCTGGATCTAAGTCTGAAATGATCATCAAGTTCAACAAGAGTGTAGTACTCATCCTCTCCCGCATCAAATTGCCTGTGGTGCACACGAACTCTTTTAATTTTTACCCATCAGAAGCAGAGTAAAAAGACAATTCCCAACATTGCCATGAAACAAGCCACCACAGAAAGGGCAAATTTCACAACAAGCAGGCTTTGATGACATGACCAACACACTGCGCTTGTTAATTGAGGAAACACCGGCACGAATTGTCCAAAGATATATCACAAAGTGCAACATACCTCACGTATCCTGGTCAGCCACAGCTTGTCTGATCAGTTTTTTCTTTTCGAATCATTTTGGCACACCTCTGATAATTAAATTTAAAGTTTATTGATGTGGCGATTCTCCTGAATGTGAATGACAAGATGATATTTGCACACACAGGACTTGGAGTACATTGCCTCAACACACCTTCCTAGATCACAACAGCATCTACGTTGTCTATCAACGCCTCAAAAGACCACTGCTCTTCACTGCTGCCTTGTGAGTCCATCATCCAACAAAAGTTGACAAACGCTTGCAGGTACACACAGCAACCAACAGGCACACCAATGGCCACGGTCAACTTTCTGCAACCCTTGTTTGGCCATGATGTTTCCACATGCTGCATGATTGGATGGAAGGTAAGCACAGAAAACCATCCTAGAAGATTGCACTTCTACAGAAACAAACACCATAACCTCAAGACCATGGTAGCTGACAGTCACAAAGATATCCATTTTGTTGCTAACTATTCATACAAGGGAAAAAGTGCCATCAATTGCACGTCTCACCTGAATCGCACACGAAGCCGTGGTCCATTTGGGGAATCCCTAATCTTTGACCTTGTGCAGTCAACATCATACCAAGCCCCATCCTTCTTGGAGAGTGCTTCTAACCCTTGTTGGCGCATTGCAACAACAGATAAAATCCAGACCAGCAGCTGAGCCCTAACAAGGGGACAACCAAGACAATATGAGCACAGAAACTGCGATGGCGACAAAAGCCATTTCTCTGTCTTGCACATAACAGCTAGAAAATTAAGCACCAAAACGTCAGCAACATCATGAATGTGGCTGCAGCAAGCCAGCTATCCAAGCATTCCTTTTAGCGCAAACAGCCGCCTTTGGTCGTTTGTGTTGAGCCTGAAGTTGTTACCAAAGCATGTACTTGTTGCATTTTCAGCCAGCACATTCGGCCAGAACCAGCTCATACGCTACCAGCATAAGTCCACATCGTCTGCATAAGCTGGTTCCCTTGTCATCAAGGTACCTGGCACAGATCTTAACTTGAAAGCTTTGTTAAGAAACCATATTGAAGTGTGCTTCTAGTTTCCTATTTCTGAGCTGCAATCTTGAGTCAGTGCAGGCAGCAGGTGGCAACCAAGGCGGGAATAGATCCATGGCAGAGAAATGTGACACCAGAGGATAGCAGCCACACTGGTAGCCATGATGCAAATCAGGAACATACTGCACATCGTCTTTTGTGCACTGTGCACACCTAAATCCGTCGATTCGTTCGCTGGACCACCAGTTCCAGTGTCCTTAGAGTACCCAACACAATCTCTGCCACAATATTGCTGGTGCACAGGAAAGTTCCCATCCAGGCAGTGGTTGCTTCACAGCAGTGAAGCCAGCTGATGCGGTACCTTTAGTGAGATGGTGCAGCTATTGGAATCAGCAATCCAAGGGAACAACAGAAGGGCACTGTGGCCGCAAAAGCCCTCATTAGGGTGTCCTTTGTAACGTTTTAACGTCCGCATAGGAGCCACCACGTCCGTCATGCGCAGTTCGCAATAGGACACATGCTATCCCTGTCTTGGGAACGGTCTGCACACCTAGCAACACAAGGGAGCGGACGCATCCCCGGTCCGGCTGGGTGCCACTGGCGCTCTGTAGCACGCATACGCACACATGCCCATACCTCGCAACACGCGCCAAGGCCCAGAGCAGCGCGACACCACTCACTCCTGCTCTACCCGAGATTCACCAGGCTCCCGCACCGCCTGCGAGCGCACAGGCCACGAGCACCCAACGCCGATGCACCCGCGGAAGACTCCGACTCGGGATGCTCATGGGAAGGTCATTAGTGTGCACTTCTGAGGCCCGTTCCCCGGAACTGGAAGCAAATGGTTCATGAATTTCGTGTGCGGTGTACTTGTGCGCATCTTGCGGCCCTTTTGTGTCGGCATTGTGGTCGGGCTTCCGTTGGTCCGATCTTATTCCAAACGCAGCGTGAGGGGCCAGTCGGCTCCGCGGAGGCATGGGTCACGCGGGCAGGCTGCTCGTGGGGCTGGCGCAGCGCCCCGCTTTTGGCGCCCTGCGGGCTAGGGCGAACCAGCTGGCATCCCAGCGCTCCCGGCCGCTGGCGGCGCTGGGCGCCAACGGCATGGTGCAGCAAATTGACGTGGAGTTCTGCGTCCGCTGAAACTACCAGCCGCGTTTCGATGTTCTGTCTGCCAACATCGACGCGGCGTTCCCTGGCCGGTTTGAAGTTCGGCCCAACCCTCAGGGCGAGCCCCGGACGGGCGCCTTTGAGGTGGTGCTGAAGTCCAAGGACGGCGACGCGGAGCTGTGGTCCAAGTTCGCGACGGGTCAGCCCAGCAACTTGGACGCCACCAAGGCCGTGGCTGAGGCCGTGGTAGAGGAGCTGAGGACGAAGGTGTAGGGGACGCCACCCAGGCGTGGGCGGTGTGCCCCCCCCCGTTGTTTGTCGCGCAGAGTGGCCTGTGGACGCTTATGACGGGATGCACCGAATCATCAATGTTCGAGAGATGCGTCCTTGATGTCGTGTCCCCACAGGACACTTTGCAAGGGGGTTTTTGTCTCGACAATTGGAGGGAGCCGTTGGCTACCATGTTGTACGATGCTCTCTGATCTGTAAATTGGTGTGGGAACGCAGGGATTGCCGTGTATCAGACGAGGTAATGGAACGAGTGCTGCCTGGCCCGACTTTTATGCACGGATTTGCTTTTTGACGTTGGATCCCGCATCGGTTGGAAAGATTGTAGTGTTGCCGGAAATGTACCGTGGGCAAGAAATTCTGTACGGGCAGCACAACAGAGCAATGACCACAGGCCATTATGTTCCATTTACAGCATACATGGACAGGCCTCCAAAGCATCTTTCTTTTGTGAGTTTCGATGTGCCTCCCTGCACATTGCCTTTCACTACGAAAAGCCACATGTCCCAGCCCTCTCCTTTTCCAAAATGTTCAAGTGCCTTTTTGCCTAATTTTCAAGATAGACTTGCCAACCCAGCTTTTGACAGCATGAGGCCAGTGGCCCGTCCTGGGCTTGCCTATGTCTAGGCACTACTCGGACAATGGGAGCAGTGTTGACCAGCCACTCAACCACACAAGTCGCTGGGTGCCAGTCCCTTGGGAGTTTCTGACGTTACTCCCTCACCTATCGCGCGGTGAGTGCGTCAGGGACAGCTTCACGCCTGCAGCTTCGACGGAGCCAGCTCTGGTTGTCCAAGCAGGACCCCTCTTCTTGTGAATTCTCAGTATCGCTTGGCTGCCTACGTTCCTCCCAATCCTGCCAGGTTGAAATTGCCCTGTTAGGTATTTGTCAGACCCGAGCCGGGAACCGAACCACGCCCGCCGGCAATGCACGGCCACGGGCATTTTTTGGGATAATCCGGCCACAACATGGCAGCTCGGGCGCACACCGGTGCACAGGCTCCGACCGCGGTGTGCGGGTTGCTGCCCGGTTTGACCTCGCCGTCCGCTCCCTTGGGACACCGCGGCGCCCGAACAAAGGGCTATGCATGGGAGGGGCGCATCCAAGCGGCCGCTGGACCAGGGAACAAGGCCCCACCCGAGCCACCAGCCGAAAAAGAGGCCTCGGCGGCCGGGGCACGCAGGTGGGGGAGCAGAATTGCCGCACACGTATTCATGCGCGCGGGGCCGACTGTCGCGACCGGGTCGCGGAGAAATGGACGCCAGCGCGTTGGCGGCTCCCGGTGCGTTTTGACCAGAGTCGGCGCTGCTGGTTCCAGGCTGGTCGGGAAATGCGGCGCGAGATTCGCGCGACTCTGACGTCAGTCCGGGCAACATCGTCCTGCCCGATCATGCCCCGGCGCCAAGGGCGCCGCCCTCTCAGCGCCCTTCGGCTGCGCGGCCACGCACTCTGAGGCCGCTGTATCACGACGCCTTGACGAACACCAGCGTCAGCGGCACGGTGCCCGCTCGCTTGCCGCAGTCGACACCGAGATCCCCGCCGCCTGCTGTGGGCGTCGGGAGGGTAGCCGCTCCCGGGGCTGTGGACATGCAGCTTGGGCCACCGCCTGCGGCCGTGGGACCCTCTGCTGGCGGCTCTCCCCAGCCAAGAATGGCCCTTCTGCAGCATCCTGCCACCATGCCCGTCGTGAGGTTCTGCCCAGCAGAAGGGGCACCCTGGACACATCCAAGTGCCCCACATTCCCCATTGGGGTGTCCAAGACCGCCGCAGCACAATTCGATGCCCGTCCAGAAGCCCTGTGGACCCAGCACAGTCCTGTGTACGCCTGCAAGGCTAGGGAGTGGTCCACCAGGGAGTGGGGCACTGGGGAGTGTCGTGCCTGGCATGGGCCCAGTGCCATGTGTTGTGCAGCAACAAGGCTCCCCATGTGCCAACCCCCAGTCTGGGAGTCCAGTTAATCGCCCAGCTGGCAGATTGGAGCGCATCAGCGGGATTGATGTCATTCGCAGGTTTGGATATGGCAGTGATGGGGCCACTGCAACAAGCTCAGGCAGTGGACAGCTGGGGCAATTTGCCACTGGCAAAGGTGGTCAGCAACACAGTCAGCCACTGCACAGTGCGCCCAGGAGACAGAGGGTGTCTAGGTGGGAACAACCGGCAACACCAGCACAGCCAAGGGATGCTGGAAGACCAGATGGGAATCTTCACTCACAGGGCAAGGCCAAGATGTTCAATTCCAGGGTGCCTGGTGGCCCTCCTGGGGCAGTCAACGGCAGAAAGGCTGGGACCCCAAGGCAGCCTTATGGCTTGGACGAAAATGGGAGGAGTGAAGCTGTGAAGCAGCACATTCCACGAACTGGTGCACGGCCTGCACAATCTGTGCCCATTCACGCCATGTCCACTGGAAGCAATGCAATACCTGGTGGCAAAAGCACAGGGATGCCGGCAGCTCCCTTGGTGTTAGCTGGTAATAGGGGAGTGCACCCACATGTCACTGGGCCACAGCTGCAATACAAACCTGGCACAGTGGTGCAGCAGACAATGTTGGCTTGCAATGAGTCTGTGGGCATTCCTGGCCTTCAGCCAGAATCCCCTGACCTTGAAGAGGTGTTGCTCACATCAAAGGATGACGAACCTGAAGAATATAGTGAACTGTTTGGAAGGCAAGACAGCCCATCCTACATACCTGGCCTGGACGTTGCTGGAGAACGATGGCAGCAGGATACCATCAGTGCCCAGCCCATGAGTTCAAATGCCCCACAGTCAAATGGCGCACAGATTCCTGGACTCGAAAGTGGCAATCACTGTGCGAGTGCACAACATGGCGTCATCGAAGAAGCTGTTGTCATTCCAGGTCTACCAGGGACTACCAGGCACCTCGATGGCAGTCAATGGGGACAGACTGAGAACAAGAAGACACAAAACGATCATAGCACTAAGGATGCTCGACAATGGCATGTGCAAATCCAGGGAGTCGATTCCGACCTGGGATCCAATGGTGCCAGTGACACTGCAAGAATGAACGAAGTGAGTGGTGGCCGTGGGGCAGGGTCGTTGCCTCCTGTTGTCATCATCTGGGATTTGGATGAGACCCTGATTCTGTACCAATCGCTCTTGAGTGGAGAGTTCATGATGGCGAACCCACAGCTAAGACATGACGCACTCAAAAGTTTGGGGGAGTTCTGGAAGAAGGCCATCTATCAGGTGATGGATGAGCACATGTTCTTCCGGCAGGTGGGCTATTTGCTTGTGAGCTGGGCAGTGTTGTGGGCACACTGAAGTAGAACATCCACCAAATGCCTCACTGCAATAGCAGCAGTGCCCCTGCCTGCGATGGTCATTTGTGTTTTGCTCATTTGTGTTGTTGTTCCACTGTGTAAGCAAATCATCCTTTTTGTTCTTGCTGGACGCCATCTGTTTATTCGCACAGAAAGATGGAGTACAAATATGCAGCATCAATTTGTAAGGCTTCTTTGTATGACACAAGTTGTCCCGGGTAGCAACGTCTATTGACTCTTTCCTGAAGGAAAACCCTGAAATGAAGGATATGGTTTGTGTTGCAGATTGAACACATGGATCAAATGACTGCCACTGCACTCATGAACCATGACGATGGAGCTGGGCTCATGGACTACAACTTTGGCACTGATCATCTGTGTGGCCTCTTTCAAGAGGGCAGCCAGCAGAAACTGGCATACAGGTACCGCCTCATTCGACAATTTTATTCAAAAGGCTTGGAAGGTGCAGGTGTCCCATTGAAGCTGCAAATGGAATGGCACAAGTTGTATCAAGAGACGAATCGGGAGACACAAGGCTGGCTCGATTTCGGTCGGAAGTTCTTGCAGGCCATGGTGGAGCATGGAGCGCCAATGGGCACAAGTCAACGGAGGCCAGTCGTTAATGTGGTGGTGTCATCAGGTAAGAGCAAAGTTTCATTGCTATGTTTTCCATATCTTGCTACCTGGTGGCCTTTTCCTGTTCCAGCAAATGTATGCTATTGTACAGCACCATTCTCCATCAGGCAATAGACTGGCGTGCCATGGCCTGGCACTGCGTTGGGAGTGAGTGCTGGAGCTTCGGCACAGCCTGCCGGCCTGTTTGCTGTTCAAGAAGTCCCAGTTTTTGCTTACAAAGAGATAGGCAGTGCCAGCGAACATGCAATATCTCATGTCCATCCACGCAGCACCCTTGTTATTTCCACTAACAGGGTTGCACATTCTGGATATCCCACAATTCTGTCCATGATTTTGTTTCATTCTTCCTTATTTATTGGAGGAGGGAGCCTTGGGCGAGGCGATGTGGGCCTGGGGCTGTGAGAGGGGCCTGTAGACCTGCACACAATAATGCTGTTGCAGCTGCACACACGGGGCCACAGCTCAAGACAACACTAGTCAATTTGTCGATTTTTACCTTGACAGCCTGGGAGCATACGGGCCACTACCTTGTGCCATTCTGCTGCACATCATGCCAGTCCCAACTGGAATACGGCTGATCAAGACCTTGCGTTGCATTGGAGTGGGAATCTTCCAACACTGTTGCCAATGTTCAACATATTGCATCAATTCAGAGCTTGGTGCACATCTTGATCTGGTGCCTTTGTTCACTTTTCATTTTCCCCTTGCATTCTCCAGTTCGCTGCCCCAAGACCCCACATCTGCCCACTTGTGGCAAAGTTATTCAAAGGTGGAAGTGTGGTAATAGAAACATTTGGCTGTTAGGCTGCTTGGAGCGTTCCTACTCCTTGGTCCCTTCTATGTACTTGCAGGCCCCCTTGCATCTCACATCTTGTAGTGGTTAAACCTCTGACTGTACAGCAATGCAGTGGGACAGTTGGTCATGAATGTTGTAGACACTGGGGGCACAGAAACCAACACCCCTGTCCGAATCTGGTCGATGGTCTGTCAAGGTTTCCCACAGTCCCTGTGGGGGCATTTGACCCACAATGTGGTTTCTTAGGCAGATTGACAGATACACGACTGTTCAAGGACATACACTTGAACTTGCCCACAGGCCTTTGCGGCTTGCCTGTGCTGGTGATTGTGCATACACACCAAACGAAATGCCGCCGTTGTGATTGACAAGGCGAAAAGAACACATCAGCCACAGCTGCAGCGTTGGCCCACCAACTCTGGTCGTTGAGTCACAGCAGACACAGTGGTTGTGAAGCCGTCCATGTGCCACTGAATGTTTCCAGAGCTATGTTTAGCTGTGCTGTGTACCTGGTGCATTCTCACAGCACAAACCAGCACTCACAAAGAGAGTTACACAATCTTTAAGCTAATAATGTTCATGAGCTCAAATGCCAGTCAAGCTGCATATGTGCTTTCCATCTCACGATCCAAAAGCAAAGGCCTGGCGGCAGAACAGACAATGCCCCCATGCGGTGCAAAATGGTGGGCAGAGAACTGCATTTCTCCACAGCTTTGTTGTTGTTGGGGTTCAATGCTCTGGCACCCGATTTGGCTTGATTCTGCTGCCTGCTGATGCCTGCTGTGTATGGTATAAGTGTCTGTATAGTGGCGGAATTTGCACATCTTCTTTGCACCCGGTCAACACTGTTTGCCATCTCTTTGGGTACTTTGGTACAGTGCGTTCTGACAGATAGCATATGGTGCTCAGTGCATTGGCACCCCTACAAATCCCCGTGTTGGATGACGTCCGCTTGAACGCACCTGTGCTTACAATGTGCTTATTGTCTTCAGAGAAAAAGCTATTGTAACACCGTATCAACCCATCCAGGCATTGGCATTCCTCATTATGCTGGATCCCCAAGGCATGTCGATTGGCATGATCCAACACCTGCCACTGACGAGCCTATGAAATTGACCAGGGTCACATGGATGTCACTCCAAACACGGATAGGTGGAGCCACACCTGAACGGCAAATTCCAAGGCATGCTGCATTGTTGGAATGCTGTTTGGTGCTCCATTCATGGTGCATGCTCATTCCAGAAATGGGAAGTGTTCACCAAAGAACCCTGTCACACACTCTTCCATGAAACTATTGGTCCACAGAGACACAATGAATGCATGTGGACCTGGGGACAATACGAAACTCCGCAGCCATCGAAGTCTGATGATATGTGCTGTCCAAGTTTATTGGCAATATGGAGGAAAATGCGATGAAGGACATCAAGGAGTGGAAACCCATCTAGTGATGCACCAGCCAAGTTCCATAGTCCAATCGTGCAATGCCAAGACTTCATTCCCATTTTAAAAAAGCAAGCCATCAGCCCACACTTCATCAGATGCACATCGCTGCTGTCCTCCCCTTCAACCCTTGTGTGGTAGAGTGCATCTCTAAACTTCAGGATCATCCTTGAAATGTTTGCGGCATTGTCACTCCAGTTGCAATTCCACACAGACGCACAAGCCATGAAACCAGCAGCACTCATTGCTCACAGAGCGATCTGCAGACACTATGAGAGTTGGCTCAGATGCCATGCACACTTCCAACATCCCTGTAGCTGGTGAAAACCGCATGGTGTCGAGAAATTTGGGGGAGGAAGGACTGGCAGCCTTGCATTTGACTTTCCTCTGATGAAATCTGCCTTGAAAGGCACCACACGCTATGGGAAGAGGTTGGGCTGTGCTCCTGTGTGCAAGTTGTACAAGGTAATCACCAGCATATTAGCATCGTGAAGCTAGTGGTAGGGTCAGGAAACAGCAGGAAGGGCAAGTAAACAACGAAACAGCAAGCAGCACTTGATGTACATATTCCTGGAAGTGGCCATAGTGGGGCACGGCTGGATGTCGACAAGCAGTTTATGTGAGAGAGATTATCTTTGTTATGTGCAGCTGCTGCACACAATGTGCTGATGTAGTGTTATCTTAGCTCAAGATTATGAGTCGAATCTGCTAGCTTTGCCAACTGTCATTTTGGCAAGTTCAACAATTTGCAAGGTCCCCACAACACTGGCTGGCGTTCACCTAATCGCGATTTCTGAAATGGCCCTGGTTTTGCCTTCACGAATCAACAACATGCAGCTCTCCTTGCAGCAATGTCCTAGATGAAGTAGGGCAGGAACAGTCAGTATATTTGCAAGTCCCAAAGAGTGGCAAGACCAGTCGCAGTGTTGCAGCTCCATGGATGTTCAGGTTGCAGCATGAAAGAGTGCCTTGGGCGTCTCCACCCTTGTTTCCTGTGGCTGATGTCAAAGCAGAAAAAAATGAGAAACTGGAAACAGAGGGACTTGATGGAGACTTGCAACATGCTGTGCTCTTGATCGTGTGCTGCAACTGGGAACGCTGTCGGCCGAGCAGGGCAAACAGAGTCTGGTTGATGAAGTTGGTACCCACGGGGGCTGGCATGTAGCCAGCATTGGCAGCAATCCTATCTCACTGGCGCCACATGGTCATCTGTTGCCTTGTGGATGCGTTTTCGTGAACCCCCATGTCTGAAGACATTTCGTCGACATGAAGAGGAATAGTTGTTCAACATGCTTTCTGCAGGTCTTTGTTCATTGTGGCCACCGGGGCGAGGTCTGTGAGGCACACGGACAGCAACTTCTGCGCGTGGCCAATGCGATTATCAAGCTCACATACTCCCCACCCCCCCACCTAACCCCAAAAAAGATGGCATCACACCCATCTCCAGACAAGCTCAGCGGTGCTCACAGTGTGAACGCGCAGCACACCAATCGCCACTGACCACGTCGGCCCATTTGCTGCTGTGAACAATGCCTGGTGCTCGTTTGAGAAGCACACAAGCATTTCTCTGATGTCTGTTTCGCTGCTCCCTTCTGCACAGGACAACTGATCCCTACACTGGCGAAAATCATGCTTTTCCGCCTGAATGCGTTTTTCCAGATCGAAAACATCTACAGCTCATGGGGCTCATCAAAGATCGATTGCTTTTCTCTGATTAAGAACAAATTCGGGACAAACTGCAGCTATTGTGTCGTGGGGGATGGCCACCTGGAGGATGAGGCAGCAAAGGCGTTCGGATGGCCGTTCATTCGAGTCACCATTGGCAAGTCGCCTGTGGATACCACCAGACTACCAGATGCCTTGGGAAGGGCGGGAACGCCGTTCACTTCGCTCACTGTGGAGGACGTTTTTTTGTTGACCAGACTGTGAGCCGTCACGGCGAATGTGCGCACCGAGCACTATCCGCCGGAGGGCCTCATGCCACTGCATGCTGTGTTGAGGCATGGCGATGAAAGTACACTGATTCGAATGCGGCGGGCTTGACGTTGGCATTCGCTGTTGTTCTTGACACATTTTCAAATGTTCGGGCTTTAGAGGCCCCTTGCCATAAGCTGCATGGCAGCTCCAATTTGGAAATGTCGCCAGCAATGGCGGTGTTGCCCAAAAGAGCACAGTGCATGTCAGGCCTTAATTGTGCGCCACTCTTCCGTTTGAGCTCCCAGAGATGTCGTTGCTCGATGTCCAATTTTTGGGTATGATGGGCAGCAAATACTCGTCAGGAACTCGCCAAGCAACACTGACTCATTTCCAACTACAGTACAGAGATGGAGGAAGGTTGCCACTGTCGCAAACATTGAGCAAATTTGTTGGAAACAGTACTAGTTGCGAACACCGACAGAGTACATGGCGCGTGCGGCCACATTTTGCGAATAGTGCATTGTGAGTTAACGTTCTTCCTACTCGTTGCTGAACTTTGCTGCTGTGGATACCAATGTTCAAGTGCCACATTGTTGCGTCCACGACGGGCCCCCTGACCCAAAGGATTGAGTCCGCCATTGTGAACCAAGGGTCTTGTAACATGTGCTGAAGGGTCGAGCAACATGTTGATCAACCAGTACTCGTCGTACGTTGAAGTATAAAAAGTATGCCCAGCGCAATATGAGAACGCGCTGATGGGCAATAGACCGGCACAGGGACAAAATGGTCCAAGACTATGTCTGCGTAGTTCACTTTTGGAGAAGCCGTGGCGCTTGTCTCACGCCAAACTCGGAAGCTGAGGTGCCGACAGTTTGGATCTGTGTTGTTTTATAATGCCGCACTTCCAAGTAAAATGCGCAAGGGTGTGCATGAGCCAGTGGGATGAGGTTCTAGTCACCAGGATGTTCAGTGCTGGGGGTTGTAAATGTGCATCATTGTCACCCACCAAAAGCAGTATCCTTCCGGAACACGAGTGGCAAAATCCACTGAAATTCATTGCTTCACGCAATTTTTGTCAATGCAGACGCTCGGGAAGAGAGTCGTGCGACATCCCTTCATTCCGGAGCAGTATTCAGCTATCGGCAGCCGAGAGATCTTTCAGTGTTGAATCAACCCAATCAACCCAGTGCTGTTCGTACCAGATTAACCGCAGTTGGAGCCATGCAAATATCAAAGGAATTCACCCCGCTGGGTTGGATGATTTTATTTTGTCTTGGTGTGGGGTGGGTGGGAAGGGGGCAGCAGGTGACACAGCGCCAAGAATGTTGGTAACGTCGCTGCCCAAGTGGCTACTGTCGTCCTTGCCAGTCCAAGGCCGCGTGGAACTTTGCCTCCAATGAGTCACTTTGCCTCCGAGACGTGCTGCATGCCTACCAAACAAGAGACCAGCAGTTGGATGAGTGTGTCCGCAGCTTCATCACGGCTGAATCGCTCCGCTGTGATTCCACAGATTACGGCAAACGGCTGCCAAGGGGAACAAATCCTGAGTCGCCTTCTTCACGGTGCTGTATTAGCAGAGTTGCAGAAGAGCGCCACCCATGCTCCAATTCCAGCCAGCTCCAAAGGGCGCCTGTCTCGTGCACCTAAAGTCCCCGTGCTGCCTGCTCTGGTTCGGATGCGTCCGACGACTGTTGATCAGGGCACCAGGGTGCCCTGTGCTGGGACTGCAGGTGAGAGGGGCACCAAAAACAAGGGGCAGAGACCGACGATGGGCCCACAGCGAGCTGCCTGCATTCTCGAAATGGGCACCCGGCTGCACTCTATGCGCAAGGTCAACAGAGGTGTGAATGCAAAAAGGTTCCAAGATAAGAATGCCGCACGTAGCAAACATTTCACACAACAATGGCCCAACACGGAAAGCCACGGCAAAAGGTTGACATGATCCATGGTTGGCAATCCGGCGTTACAGTGCATCAATGTGTTGACAGCTGTCAACAATGTGCAGCACAGTACTCAGATCGATAGATATCCCATCAACGAACACACCCAGGAGTGACTTGCGATGGCCGACTTCATGCCAGGTGCTCATAGCACCAGAAACCTCTCTAACCCTTGCATGCTTGTGTGCGCATCCACGCTGGTGCATCCAGAAGACCTCAGACCCTTCGGGGGCACAGTACCCTCGGGCGTCATTCCCTATGCATCGTGTCTGCTTGGAGAGCTGGGCCCTCCACACTGCAAAGATTATTCCTTCACCTCGTGATTAATCAATCTTCAATGCACTGTCGCCTTCCACAACAGCAACAGTGCATCACCAACAAGCCTTGGATCAGTATTGGTGGACACCACAAGGGTGGGCATCCAATCGAAGTAACTCTTAATGACCATGGCCCCATTGTACCAATGGCACTATCGAAGCAAACACAGCTCCACAAGGCGTCCTCAAGTGTTATTGCAGCTCATCGAAACTCAAAAGTACCCCCAGCCCTCAGGCCTGGCTTGTCCAAACGGGTCGCCTGCAAGGCCCGCAGGGGATGGCTGCATAGCATCTAGCGAATGCTGTGCAGACACTGACGGCCTTCTCTCCACCGACACCGTAGGCAACGGTCATTCTTGTGTGGCGTGCTGAGAAGTGGGTTGACACAGTAGGCACGCGCACAGCCCCGCACATGAGCACGTAGGCTTGCCCCTGGTACAGTCTACCCAGCAAGTACGGGCTCTAGAGAAGACTCCCACAGAATGGTCTTGCAAACCAACTCTGAACTGGTTGGACGGATTGGCTCGTGAAGTGCTGCCTCATGGCTGGACACGCAAAGGGCAATTTCTGGCCAAACTCGGAAGTGTCCAGCTCTTCAAAGCACTGGACTCCCCGCAACCCGGAGGGTCAAGAGCCGCAGACCACAGCACGACCACAGGGAAGGATGCCACAAGGCTTCATCGTCATTGCCCGGTTCTACTCAACACTGGTCACGCGCTGCATGCCTGCAGGCCCATGGACACCAGCCACAGACGACGGGCGGGCACCAAAGGCAGTGGAGTCAGCGGCGCGGCAGCCCCCAGTCTGCTCGACTGTGGACTTGGCCTTGGTGCCTCGCGTCAAGAGGTACCTGGGTTGGAAAAGTGGGCTACGCCGGACGCCGCCATCTGCAGCGCCACGTTGCCCCTCAGTGGGCCGCTCCTGGGCACCCTTCCGAGACTTCCTCCTGCGCCTTCGTTTCTCTGGGCTCGATGCGTCCGTGCCTTCTCCAAACCCCTGGGCCGAATCACCTGGTCCCTTTCCAGATACCCTGCCTTGGGTAGGTTTCTTGCTTTTGGCAACAGGATTCTCAGGCTGCGGAAGATCCTCCAGCTCGTCTTTGGCCATGGAGAGACCTGCCATGGCAACATCTGCAGCCTGCCTGGCGGCCTTGATTCGATCCTCCAGCGGCATGTCACTGTTGTCGTCATCACAAAAACCGAAACCAGCCTCAATGCAGACTGTGCCAGTGGGCAGTGCAAGCACTGCCTCACGGCGAAGCTTGAGAGCGCCTTCTCTATGTTCACCATTTGCAGCATCGCAAACACCGCCTTCTCTGGCTGCAATGTCACCCGTGGAGCAGGCGTCAGCCTTTGCCGGTTTAATCCCTGGGATGGTTATGTACTCACGAGGATAGCCCCCTGAGTCCACAGGCGCATCAGCCCCACACTGACTGTGCTGCTGCTGGCAGGCTCCTGCAGACTGTGGGCGTCTGAGAATGGTGATGGGACCATCTGGAAGTGTGAAGGGCTTAATAACGGCTCCTGTCAGCGTCTGCCCAGATTTGGCAGCCTTCTTGCTTGCAGCAGGCATTCTCTTGCCTGTACCTGGTGGCACGCTGGAGTTGGATCTTGGGTTTGGCTTCATTTTGCTGGTCTTGGCTGGGCCAGTCAGCCAGCCCTGCTGGATGCCATTGATGTCCACGAAAACTTCACGGATTTTGCCACCTCCTGGAGGTCTGCAAACAAACAAACACTCGTTCAGGATTGTCGTTCAGGACTGTTGTGGGACGCCCCTAAGCCTCCCAGAGAGAAACAGACATGAACCCAGTGCCCACAAAGGCATCGAATGACCAGTCTACCAAGACTGCCAGGAGGGTGTAAGCATCTGTGCTGCCCTCGCTCTACGTTTCAGAACAAAGCAGGTGGCTCTCCCTCTGCGTCAACAACACAGAACGCATCCAGGTCACGCGCTATCGCAGGCCAGCGGCCGACGCCAACAGCATGCCGGCGCCCCGTGGTGTAGCCACCATCCCCAGTGCAACGAGACACACATCCACCGGTGGCCCGCAGCCGGCGCACAGGCGCCCAAACTCCGTTCCTGCGCTCCGCGGACGCGCGCCCCAAAAGGTGCGACGACCGGCAACACGGGCGGGAAACAAACCACGGCATCAGACGCGCGAGCTGCGGTTGGCGTGGTGCGGGCGAGGGCAGCAGGCCCGGGCGCGCCCCGCCACGTACATCGTCTCCACCTTCCTGGTGCGCAGGGGCTTCTTCCTTCCGGCCTTCAGGCCCCTCCGCTGAGAGCCCGGTCCCCGTGCCCCCCTCCCACCCCCTCCGCCGCCCTCGCCCCCTCCGTTGCCTTCCTCCCGCTCGCCCCGCCGCGCCCTCTCGTCGATCTCGCTCCACGCCTCGCGGCCCCAGCCCCCATCCGTCCCGGCATCAACCGACGCCCCGTTCGAGATTCTGAAGCCCATCCCGTTGGCGCCGCGCGCCCCAAGGGCGGCAGCGCCAGCGCCCAGGCGCCGCGTCTGCGCCTTGCCCGCTTGGCGCCCCGGGCCTGCGCCCTGGCCCAACAGCTCCGCCGTTAGCACGACGCCCCCCGTGCCGACGACATCGAAATCGACGCCATCCGCCCCCGGCGCCTTGGCAGCGCCCTGCTGCTCGCCGCCGCTGTCCTCGTCATCCCTGAAGCTGTCCGAGTCGCTGTCGTCCGAAGGGAAGTCGCCGGGGTAGGCGAAGTCAGCGGCGGAGCCCTCCGAGTCAGTGGCGCAGTCGCGCAGGCCGAACGGCACGCGCGCGGGGTGGCCCGCCACGTCCTGCATGGCGGCGGCCGCGGCTAGACAGACGGCAGCGTGGGGTGCAGCTCACGGACCGGCCATGGCGCTGCGGGTGTGTGCCGCGCTCGCTCGCACGGGCATCCGCCTGCCAACGAACTTTGTCCTGTTTCGTCGCCCAGGCAGGGGGAGGAGGCAATGATGGAATAATGGCAGATTAGATGAAATAGCGCTGATTCGGTAGGTTCGGGGTGGGGCTGTGTCGGAGGCAGGCACGGACACGGGCTTGGAGACACAGCTGAGGGAACAGAGTTACAGATAGGTCGCGGACAGGCGTGTTCCTTAATAGTCATGCAACCATCTGTCAATGATGGGCCTGTCACTGCCATATCACCGCCACCCCACCTTTGCACTTTGTGGTGCGGTGAGCACCTGGCTGGGACGACCCGCGAGGGCACGCCCTGCTACCCTGTACTACCCTGTACTGTTCTCTCCTGTGATCTGCTGCTTGAAGCACAAATTTCGGGAACCGCGGGGATCTGCTTGGTGGGGGGCAGTGCGCAGGCGGCTCACCTACGCCCCGTGGCATCTGGCACCCCTTCAATGCACAGCGCGAAAGAGCTCCCTGGCTGGCTTTCCACGAAGTGCCAGCCCCGAACCAGGGCCAGCTTGAGTTGTGCGAATTAGGGAACATGTCGGTGCCTTTGTCTGGTCCTCTGTCACCCTCGCAAAGTCCTTGATGGCTTTCCTCCCGGACAGGCATCATATGTCATCTGCAACATCCCAACCGGGAAGCACTGTTACGACATCTCCCTGTCCAGCGGGCACTGACTGTACGTTGGGTTTTTGTGATGTGACAGCCCCTGGCCCTTCGCCCTTGAGCTTTACAAAAAAAAGGTTAGGCCCCAGAAATCGGCCACAAACAGGCCACATTCCTCTGCGTCCTCAATCTGCTTGCCACTTGGGGCGCAAGGCTGGGGAGGCCTTCGCCCGCGCCCCCGCCTGCCCGCAGCATGGCTCCCCAGTTCCGCGTCCTCACGGAGTGCGGGAGCGCAGGCAGCCGCACAGACGTCGTCCCCTTTGTGGGGGGCTTCATTCGATCGATGCGGGGCGGAGGACCCCAGTTCGGTGACCGAACTTGGGGCAGGATTTCCCGCGTGAGGTAGGGGAGGGGGGGACCCGCCGCGCCCGGCGTAAATCTTGGTGGAGGTACCTCGCTTCTGAAAGGCGATCCAATCCAGCGACGCACTGAAGATCGTCTTTGCATTGCCAGAGGGGGCGGATGCGGGTGCACCCGCCGGAGGGCGGTCATGATGCCCATTGGCGTTCCGAGGGTGCCTTACCGCACGCCCAAGGAGAACACGTGGCAGTGGGTGGACATCTGGAACTGCCTGGTGCGTGCCTTCGTATTGAACGCCCGCACAACACAATGAACACCAGCAACAAGGGAGCGATGTGCACTTCGCCCATAGCAAACTGTACTTGGCCTCAACAGTGACGCGGTGCAAGGCGACGTGGCAAGCAGGCCTCAAGCTTTCGTTGTTTTTGGCGCATCTCCCCCAATGTTTATCGGAGGACGCTAATTGTCCATAGAAGCGAGGGCCACACGAGTGAGATCCTCCTTGTGTTTTGTGTTTTGATTATTGTGTTTGTAATTGTTGTATTTTGTGGCTAGAGTGAGTTTGACACTGTGCAATGATCAAAGTTCGTCAGACCTCATCTTGTTCCCCCTCATACCTGAGCGAAGCAGAGCCCCACTGGCAGTAGAACCTCCAGAGGATGCAGTCGCAATGTAGCAAGGAGTGAGAATTACCCTGGACACCTCCAACAGCATCACACTGCCCATGTCGCAAGCTATGTACAATTTGTACCTGGCCGTGTCTGCACACCATTACCCCTTCAACGGGTCCACATTGTCGACCTGATGCAAAGCAAAACATGGAATCAATGGGGCTGTTGGTGACTGAGTGCCTGGCCCACCTCTCATTGAGCACAATATATTGCTACGGCGCCCAGTGACAGTGTGAGGTTTCTTTTGTGGCCACAGTACCGAGAGCGCATAATATTCGTTGGCAAGCCTGTGGATGACGAGATGGGGAACCAATTGGTTGCAACAATGCTGTACCTGGACTCTGAAAACAAGCAAGACATGACCCTGTACATAAACTGTGCAGGGGGGGAGGTGGGGACAACAGCCACAGGCACAATGTGCCTGAATGCCTGCCTGACAACCTGCTCACTCTGTTTTAAGAATGTTGTATAGCTGCAGCTCAATTACTCAAAGATTGCAGCTTTGACAGCTCTTGAAGGCCCTTCTCATGGGGAAGCACTGCGGCTTTCATCTATGCCGAAATTGGCCAGCACTCCCCGTCACAGTTTATGCTGCTGTCGCAGATCGTTGCTTGCCTCAGCAAGATCGGCATATGCCACAAGTATTACAAGCAGTTGTATGCCTTAGGATCAAGATTGCGTGGTTTTCCATTGTTATACCCATCGCAATCTTTCCACAACAGAGCTGAAGAAGTGGTAGAATAGGGCATGGGAAATGTGAATGGACTGAAGACCATTCACTGGCCACAACAGGCCTCGATTGGTACCTGTGGTGGAGTTGCCCTGCAGCTGCCTTCTTCTCTGTAATTCAACCGATTGGCCATATATCATGATAGCTCTTTTCTCCGGGGTGCTCATCAAGTGTTAACCTAGAGCCACGAAGGGTCGCCCAAAGACATTTTTGACTGCCTTGTGCAGCAAGTCTGTGACTGCTGATGAGCAATTGAATTCAGTTCCCCTCTCCTTGATTTGCAACAGCTCAATTTCTTCGGCTTTCAAATGTACTGAGGTCCTTGTTTGTTCCCAGTGGACCATTGCTTATGCACTTTGATACTTGCTTTGCTGAATGTGCTATCTCTGTTCCAAAAGTTTTGTCTGTTATCCAATTCGCCCAAATGGAGGTCAAAGCATGCGAGTCAGAAAATTTAACCAAAACAACTTCGACGTGCCAGATCAATAGCTATCCAGAGAGCCCTTTGGCGTGGAAAACAGCGCTGCCATCTTTGAGATATGTTGAGAGGAGCACAGACGCCACTTTTCCTTGTGTTGGGACCTAGAGTGGGCCATGGCAAGCTCGTCTTGACCTTCGACAGAGGTGGATCGAGCTGAGCTACCCCTAGGAGAGATGTATGAGTTGGTGGTTGGGTATTCACAAAAGATGTGGCTAGATTCCTAATAGAAGCCTCAACGCAAAAGTTGTATTGCTGGCACAGAGTTTAGGGCCTTGACAAGTACTGTGAGAATGTTGAGGCCAGAGGCCAAGGGACACCTTGTTCTGTGCAAGGGCGTCAACTTGGTAGATGCGCATGGGTCTGGAAAGCTGTGCATGGTGATGTTAACCAAAAAGCTGTTGTAAATTGTTGCCAACATGGCCAATAATTGAAATCAAGAATTTTCAAAACACGTTTTAGCATGGTGGAAGAGATGTTTCACAAAGAGTGTGAAAGCGATGATGCCAAAACTCTCAAAAGGGTGTAGTCATGCTCATTTGTTGTATGAAACTAGGCTCTTGAAGAATTTGGAGTAAGTACGTTGTAATACAATGGGATAAGGTGAGCAACAAAAGGCAGGGAGTGCAGGCCCTGACACAAGCGGATAGGGACAGTTTTGGTAAGGTAGTGTATGTCTTGCTGTATGGTGGTGAGTATGCATCCAAGGTCCACCATAACCCAAAATCGACCAAGGAATCCGAATCTGGCAACAAATTGGCTAATTGAGTTGATCTTCCAAAGTGACATCAAGATTGGACAACAGACACGACTTTTGGAACAGAGGTAGTATTGTGAGTCTGGAAGGGCTAGAGCAACCTTCATCCCTGAGGTTGAAGAGAACAAATCATGCTGAAGCCAGCAGCTGGAAACTCCGATTCCCAGCCATTGGCGATCCCAAAATTTGGATTTCCTGCATCTGATTGTGGTCTTTTATAGGTGTGCTACAAATTTTCTGTTGTGGCTCTTTGCTGAGATCAAACAGAGCATGAAAGCCCTAGACAAAGAAAGTATTGTAGGAGCCTGAAAACGTCCAAATTTTGTGGAAGGATGGTCTTTCTGACTGTTGGGTTATGCAGTTAAAGCAGTTACACAGTAGAGGCCAGTGGAGAAGGCAATGCTAAAAGTCTTTGTGTCTTTAGACAACTTGAACATGTGCACTGTACTTGAGTTGTCTTTGATTCACAGTATCACACCTGCACAATGCAATTATCTCATGTTCTTGATTGTTGTTTGGTTGATGTGATCTGCGTGAGTGACGAGTTGCCGATGAGTAGCACACAGCCGCTGGGGTATTACAGGTCGTTCCATCCCTGGCCATCCATGACTGCATGAAGCATGTGGAGAGCACCTGTGCAACAGTTGGATTTGGGGGCTGCCTGGGGATGAGCGGCTTCCTGTTAGCCGTTGGTGCAAAGGTGCGGCATTCAGGGAGAGGATATCTGATGTTTTCTCACCTGCCAAAAGCCTGTATTTTAATTGGACTTCAGTGTTTCAGTTGAAGAGAATGTGTGAGTTGTGCCCCCCTCACCAGTGGGACTGCTGCTGTGTGTCTGATGGCAATGCTGCCTTGAAACAACGCCTTGTGCGTGGAAGTTCTTCCTCTAGCATTTTGATGGTCTGCAAACGAGTGTCCAAAGTGGGCATGCGGAAGAATTTCACCTGTTATGTTGGGATTCTCCTTCACTCGGATGGAGTGTGTGGCTCATCAAAGGGAAAGCGCTGGGCGATGCCAAACACACGGATAATGATTCACCATCCATCTGGAGCCGCTCGTGGTCAGGCAGAGGACATTCACAACGAAGCTCGCGAACTGCTGCATATAAGGGACTACGTGAATGCTGTCTTATCTGAAGCAACAGGGCAACCATATGAAAAGGTACAAAATCAACAAGTTGGATGTGATTTTGGCTGGCACAACATAGTCAGAACCTTTCCTTGCACATGGCCACCTCGTAGCAGACTTGGTGGGGTTTCAGTTCCCCAATTCCTTTTGAAAGCCCCTCCATGAGCGAACAGTGCAATGCCCATCCAGGATGGGTGCCACCTTGCACCACATTTCTTGCAACCTGTCTTGAAATGCCTGTGCGCTGATAAGGTTCCCATGCATGGCCCTTCCTGCACTTGTGCCTGCTGCTGCCTGCGCTTGTGGCTACCAATGTTGGGCATTGGCAGGCATGAAATGAATGCTGCTTTGTATGCAACTAATTGCTGGCCCAATTCATATGAAAAATGGAGCTCTGCCACTGCACCTATGGTTCATACTGAAGTGGTAGGTACTGTTAAGAACTGCTTGTTAATGGGATTTGATTTCAAAACTGTTGCTGACGAAATTTATCAGTTGTGCTGAAGCTGAAGTTTGCCCTCCTGCAGTTTATGTTTCTGGAACAACATTGTCAGCAGATTTGCACATTCCCTTTTTCTGCTGATTGAAACTGAATGGTACTCCCTTAGCAGTGTCCAAGAACTGAAAATTTTGGTATTTGCACTTCATCTCCTGCAGCCAGACATCAATTTACAGTGGAAGCTGTCTGTCTAGCACATGATGTGCAGAGACCTCTGACAGTGCCACTGCTGGTCAAATCCATTTTGGCTGCAATACAGAATGGCCACTTGATGCACTCATTTGTACATGAACGGACAAGCCCTTCTCTTCGATCTGAACCTTACTTTGAAATGTGCACTTCACAGCTCCAGCCGTTACCGCAGAACCATAATTCGACAGTGTGTGGTAGAAACAGTTGTATGGTCCGTGAATAGTGAGGACAAGCGTCCAGTACCTAACTGGCTCGTGCCACAGGCCACAGCATGTGTTCCAACATTGCGACCACCGTGGTGTGCTCTAGACACTGTGCATGGAATCCAGGACATGTTTGACACTGCTTCGCACTGCAGTGGGGTGGATTGGTTGTTCTGTCTTTAATGCACATCGTGTCTTCACAGGTTTTTAAGGATTTTGGGCGGAACAAGTACTTCAATACGCAGGAGGCCCTCGATTATGGCCTCATTGACAAGGTCATAAAACCGGTTGGGGCCAAAACGTGGGAGACGAGGTGACATTGCCGCTGTTTGCTGATACAATTGTCCAGCCAATGCTAGCTGGGATGGCCTGCGACTGGCGTTTGCAAAAGGAGAGATGGGAGTGCCTTGCTAGCGTTGGAGCTGTAGAAAAGGCTCCACAGTGTACCCCTTGCCAAATGCTATGTGTGAAATTCGGTCTATTTCAGCAATGTCCCTTGGACTTGCTGTTGGCAGAACATCCCATTGGCATGTGCTGCCGTTGGCTCCGTTGATGTCCATCAGAACCCATTATTTGTCCCTCTCCTATTTAAACAAATGTGACTGCATGGACACCTGGCCCGGCTACTGCAATAACGCACTGCAGTGCGCCAATGAACACTCGAGCACGTGCCCGCTGGCCGCACTAAAGAAGATGGCCTGCTTGCCTTGCTTGCGTGCCTTTCACGCATTGCGTGTTGTGGCTCATTTGTCATGTGCAACATATACCGTGGTCACACGCTTCCAGCTTGGGAGTCAAAACTGGAGATCAGCTCACTCGTGGGATATTCAGAGCCGCTCGAATGCACACCTGCCGCTCATGAACCGGTGCCCAGTGGCAGGCTTCAATGGCCATCGACAGGGAAGGAGAACGCCAGAGTTTCTTACGTGCACATGTGCCATTGACGTCTACCAATGCCGTGGGCTATCCTGCAGCGCTGCCCCAAGGTGGCGTTTGTGCAGGAGTCGCAAATGGTGCTCATCGCCAGGGTCCACAGTTGACGCAGCCGTTTACAGATCCCCGCAGGCCTCTGATACAAACGCTTATCCCCCCTCGCGATGAAATTATCAACTAGTGCCTCCCAGTCCTGCACCATTTACAAAAGGAATTGGGAATGTCCAACAGAAAATACAGCGTTTGCCGATGTTGCCGATGGTCACCAGCATTGCTTGTGCAACATTTGCAGCCCATTGTGAACCGCATAGTCCTGCGCAAGCTGTGTGCGACTACCCCAGTTTCGATTGCCCCTCGAGTGTGGACTGCAGGAAACTGGGAGTTGCCACCAAACCGGGGGATACATGCATCAAAAGCACCTGTTGCGCGTCACAATCCTTCTTGGTGCCTGTTCGGCCTGACATGATGGGCGGCGGCGGGTTGATCAAAGCATTGCGTCCACAGCGCTCTTGCTGCTCTCGAAAACGGCAACAGTAGAAATTTATCCTTAACAGGAAATGTGGCCTGATGCACAGCCTCACCCCAATGGCCGCCAACGTGTGTGCCAGTCGCGGCGTCCAAATGTCTGCTGCGGATTCTTGGCCCTGCTGCGATGCGCCGGCCCCAAAGAGTTGCATAGCCTGCCGTTGACAACAACATTGCAGTTTCATCATCGTCTTCGTTGCACAAGCTACCTTCGATCCCGTACCGCCAGATGTCTATTTGGCGTTTTGCGCAGGTCCACTCTTATCGCCCTCTGACATTTTGTTGGCGCGGGCCTTGCTGCGCTCTGAGAGAGTGATCTGAAGCCTTTGATTGACGATCAACAGGGTGTTCGATGGGGTGTTGATGACGTCACTGTTGACGGATATGCCATCGAGGTATTTTCTCAGCATGTCACGGAGGTCGTCGTTCTCACGCCTCAACCGGTCTCTCTCGTTCTCAATGGCGCATTTCTCTAGCGTCACCTGTACAGCAAGCAAGTACATGGCCAAGCGCACCATCTGGACGAAAGGGGACAGCAGCTGGAGGCGTATGTGTGAGATGCCTTGCCTCGAGCTTTGGATGCAATTTGATTTCAATTGTTGGAAAAGTGGCGATGCACAGCCCTTGCAGAATGAAAGCGATGATGGGCAATCGTCAGTGAAGGACATACGCTGACTCGGAGAGCAGTTTCCATGCACTGCATTGCTGCTCCTGTGACTCTTCATACGTCGATGCTGGCATTGAGGGACAGGTTATCATGCCGGCACTCAGGAAGTATACAATCAGAATAACTGACCGTCGAATTCCCTCGAATCTTCAATGCGTGAGGGGGATGGGGACTGTGTTCGGGCGGTATGTGACTTGTTTGGTGGAGATAAGAATACGCATACAATAGGGGGCCCGGTTTAGCGACTACTTGAATAGCGACCGGATAGGTTTAGCGAC